TGGTTTTGTGCCCTATATAAATGTCCTGTTTTACTACTGTCTATGTATAGTATCAGGAAGTCACGATCACACGAGTTGATATTATTCATCATCTTATATCTCTATCTTACAGTATGTATGAACTTGTACTTGTATTGGGTGGCCTCACAATCAAGTCAATATAGAATAAATATAGTAAAACAAATATATGAATTTGAAATCCTGTAGGACTCTAACAATATTAATGAATCTTTGAAATGTACCATAAATATAACATCATAAAAAAATCACATAAAAAAGTAAACTTTGTACATAGGAAATCTAACCAAGGATCCTAAGTAGTTGATAATAGGCATTAACTCATTCACCCTTGTAATTTGATAATGAACTGATCCAACCTTTGAATTGGAAGAGTTCAAATGTGCCTTCAGTGGTGAATTAGTTAAAGATATGTAGCCCATATAACAGTTTTTATCAAAGTTACCTAAGGTATGGTTTAAAGTGACTAACGGTTCTTTACACTGACAGGTGCTTCCTGTATCTAGAGGATTATTGATTTAAATTCTCCTGTTATTCAAACATTCTGTTGCCTCCAGGTAGATTGGACTGAGCTTTAAAAAGTTTTTCTATTTTCTAAGCCTTAACTTCTGTGCAGTTATATATTTCCCTCCAACAGCACAGCCTTTGACATAAACCCAAACAACACCAAAATAGTAACACAATTATTTACTGTATGGAGCGCATAATCACTGAAAGTATTTACACATCAAACCTGCTCAAATTTCTCACATTTTCGCACCTACATCATGAATTCACATTTAAAAATCTATCAGAAGGTATGACACTGAAGGGAAAACAATTTTCGGCTTATTCTGTTCCATCAAACTCTGAAAATTATATTGGTTTACCTGAAGGGTTGTAAACATGATAACCAGGCTGTACAGGTACTTTAATTCTTGTGCCAAGGACAAAATACACTAAATGCATATGCACTATATATCATTTTAACTCACATACATCCTGTAAATATATGAATTATAATGCTGTTAATTATATAAACACCATGACTAATTGATGCTGGGGTATGACACTTAATATTTATAGAGACCACCTGTCTATAACAACCATCTCTCTATAATGACTTCATTGACATACACACACATATATATAAACCAGGGCTACAACTGACTCTATATAATGACCACATTGACATACACACACATATATATAAACCAGGGCTACAACTGACTCTATATAATGACCACATTGACATACACACACATATATATAAACCAGGGCTACAACTGACTCTATATAATGACCACATTGACATACACACACATATATATAAACCAGGGCTACAACTGACTCTATATAATGACCACATTGACATACACACACATATATATAAACCAGGGCTACAACTGACTCTATATAATGACCACATTGACATACACACACATATATATAAACCAGGGCTACAACTGACTCTATATAATGACCACATTGACATACACACACATATATATAAACCAGGGCTACAACTGACTCTATATAATGACCACATTGACATACACACACATATATATAAACCAGGGCTACAACTGACTCTATATAATGACCACATTGACATACACACACATATATATAAACCAGGGCTACAACTGACTCTATATAATGACCACATTGACATACACACACATATATATAAACCAGGGCTACAACTGACTCTATATAATGACCACATTGACATACACACACATATATATAAACCAGGGCTACAACTGACTCTATATAATGACCACATTGACATACACACACATATATATAAACCAGGGCTACAACTGACTCTATATAATGACCACATTGACATACACACACATATATATAAACCAGGGCTACAACTGACTCTATATAATGACCACATTGACATACACACACATATATATAAACCAGGGCTACAACTGACTCTATATAATGACCACATTGACATACACACACATATATATAAACCAGGGCTACAACTGACTCTATATAATGACCACATTGACATACACACACATATATATAAACCAGGGCTACAACTGACTCTATATAATGACCACATTGACATACACACACATATATATAAACCAGGGCTACAACTGACTCTATATAATGACCACATTGACATACACACACATATATATAAACCAGGGCTACAACTGACTCTATATAATGACCACATTGACATACACACACATATATATAAACCAGGGCTACAACTGACTCTATATAATGACCACATTGACATACACACACATATATATAAACCAGGGCTACAACTGACTCTATATAATGACCACATTGACATACACACACATATATATAAACCAGGGCTACAACTGACTCTATATAATGACCACATTGACATACACACACATATATATAAACCAGGGCTACAACTGACTCTATATAATGACCACATTGACATACACACACATATATATAAACCAGGGCTACAACTGACTCTATATAATGACCACATTGACATACACACACATATATATAAACCAGGGCTACAACTGACTCTATATAATGACCACATTGACATACACACACATATATATAAACCAGGGCTACAACTGACTCTATATAATGACCACATTGACATACACACACATATATATAAACCAGGGCTACAACTGACTCTATATAATGACCACATTGACATACACACACATATATATAAACCAGGGCTACAACTGACTCTATATAATGACCACATTGACATACACACACATATATATAAACCAGGGCTACAACTGACTCTATATAATGACCACATTGACATACACACACATATATATAAACCAGGGCTACAACTGACTCTATATAATGACCACATTGACATACACACACATATATATAAACCAGGGCTACAACTGACTCTATATAATGACCACATTGACATACACACACATATATATAAACCAGGGCTACAACTGACTCTATATAATGACCACATTGACATACACACACATATATATAAACCAGGGCTACAACTGACTCTATATAATGACCACATTGACATACACACACATATATATAAACCAGGGCTACAACTGACTCTATATAATGACCACATTGACATACACACACATATATATAAACCAGGGCTACAACTGACTCTATATAATGACCACATTGACATACACACACATATATATAAACCAGGGCTACAACTGACTCTATATAATGACCACATCAAAACAGATATAAACCAAGGCCACCACATCACCTGTCTATAACAACCACCTTGAACACCTTTAGCTCTGTCAGTAACAAGTAACTAGATGGTCCATCACTATGACGAACCTCTAGCTCTGTCAGTAACAAGTGACTAGATGGATCACAACTGTGGCACACCTTTAGCTCTGTCAGTAACAAGTGACTAGATGGTCCATCACTATGACGAACCTCTAGCTCTGTCAGTAAAAAGTAACTAGATGGTCCATCACTGTGACGAACCTCTAGCTCTGTCAGTACAAAGTAACTAGATGGTCCATCACTGTAACGAACCTCTAGCTCTGTCAGTAACAAGTGACTGGATGGTTCATGACTGTGACGAACCTCTAGCTCTGTCAGTACAAGTAACTAGATGGTCCATCCCTGTGGCGAACCTCTAGCTCTGTCAGTAACAAGTAACTAGGTGGTCCATCACTGTGACGAACCTCTAGCTCTGTCAGTAACAAGTAACTAGATGGTCCATCACTGTGACGAACCTCAAGCTCTGTCAGTAACAAGTGACTAGATGGTCCATCACTGTGACGAACCTCTAGCTCTGTCAGTAACAAGTGACTAAGATGGTTCACAACTGTGACAAACCTCTAGCTCTGTCAGTAACAAGTGACTGGATGGATCATGACTGTGACGAACCTCTAGCTCTGTCAGTAACAAGTAACTAGATGGTCCATCACTGTGACAAACCTCTAGCTCTGTCAGTAACAAGTGACTGGATGGTTCATGACTGTGACGAACCTCTAGCTCTGTCAGTAACAAGTGACTAAGATGGTTCACAACTGTGACAAACCTCTAGCTCTGTCAGTAAAAAGTTACTAGATGGTTCACAACTGTGGAGAACCTCTAAATGTGTCAGTAACAAGTGACTAAGATGGTTCACAACTGTGACAAACCTCTAGCTCTGTCAGTAACAAGTGACTAGATGGTCCATCACTGTGACGAACCTCTAACTGTGTCAGTAACAAGTGACTGGATGGTTCATGACTGTGACGAACCTCTAGCTCTGTCAGTAACAAGTAACTAGATGGTCCATCACTGTGACAAACCTCTAAATGTGTCAGTCACAAGTGACTAGATGGTCCATCACTGTGACAAACCTCTAAATGTGTCAGTCCCAAGTGACTAGATGGTCCATCACTGTGACAACCCTCTAAATGTGTCAGTCACAAGTGACTAGATGGTCCATCACTGTGACGAACCTCTAGCTCTGTCAGTAACAAGTGACTAAGATGGTTCACAACTGTGACAAACCTCTAGCTCTGTCAGTAAAAAGTGACTAGATGGTTCACAACTGTGACGAACCTCTAAATGTGTCAGTAACAAGTGATTAGATGGTACACAACTGTGGCACAACTCTAGATGGTTCAGTAACAAGTGACTAGATGGATCACAACTGTGGCACACCTGTAGCTGGGTCTTGTTGGATCATAACTGAGAATACCTGTAGCTGGGTCAGTAACAAGTGACTAGATGGATCACAACTGTGGCACACCTGTAGCTAGGTCAGTAACAAGTGACTAGATGGATCACAACTGTGGCACACCTCTAGCTGGGTCTTGTTGGATCATAACTGAGAATACCTGTAGCTGGGTCAGTAACAAGTGACTAGATGGATCACAAATGTTGCACACCTGTAGCTGGGTCAGTAACAAGTGACTAGATTGTGTCCCACTGTGATACTTATAAGTTTTTACTGTACATACACATGTTCGAATATTGATTGTTTGACTTTTTTCCAGGTTTGATGAATCTTGGAGGAGTTGACGGACTCTTCCTGGTGAGGGATAGCACCAGTTCTAAGGACGACTTTGTACTCAGCGTTACCCACAATGCACGTGTTTACCAATTCCAACTAAAGGAGGTCCATGATGGACACTATCGCTTAGATGATGGTCCAACTTTTCCAGGTACAATACTCTGTGAATAAACATTTCTGATATCCTGTTTATTCATATTTGAAATGCTGTTTTTTTAGCTCTTTGGCCTATTTGTTCAAGGCCATGAGACAAAACTATCCTGGATGGTGTTTTGTATTATTTGTAATAAGAAATTATTTCTCCTTGTTATTTTCAGGGCTAGTGAAATTAATTCAGTATTACCAAAGTCCCAACAAAACTGGACTTGTGACAACCTTGACCCAGCATTGCCAGGGGTCAGCCCCGCCCCCTAAAGCACGGACTCAGGGGCCCACCAATATCCTACATAGAGCTGTCATTGAGGGTATGTAAGGAAACCTGTCAGAGCTATAAATAAAGATTCATCAGTCAAACTTGCACTGTATAATGCTGGTTTATGCATCGGTGACCTGAAATTATATAACTAATGCAAATGAATTGCCTCCTGATACAGGTCTAGTAAAAACTTGAGACAGAAAAAAAAAAAATTGTGACAGATAGCGTTGTTGCATGAAAGTTAAACCCATGTAATTGTTTCAGGATCTAAACCCTTAAAATTTGATACCACAATATTTAAGTGCTATACATTACAGTAGATATGTATGTAAGGAGAAAATCTCAGTAGAGTGTTTATAAGTTTTCGTAACACAAAACACTATTCAGTGTTCAGTATAATACAGGATCCCATACTACTCCCAAAAACTGTAACTAGGCATTAGAAACAATTTTTCCTGAATGACTATAGTTTTGATAAATCATTTCGGAAAAGAATTTAACACCTTGTGAGACTTTTATGAAAAATAATATGAAATAATCAAAATACAGTCAAAAACTGTGTTCTGGGTTTTAATTTGCTGAGCTTGACCAAGAATCCAACCCAGGACCTTAGATTGTTATACTGTCGCTCTAACCTACTGAGCTACCCGGTCAAGGAAAATGCCCTGCTCAACCGCGCTATAGTTTAATCCAAAATGAAATTAAGGGGAGGTAACTGCCTTTATGAAAACCCCTGTAGAGTTCTCTATTTTGCTTGCAGTGGGACAGGGAGTGTTAAGTGTTAAAATTACTCAGTAAACACAACATCTACCAAGGTTGGAATAATAAGAAACAGGTATTTATATTTGACCTGATACATGACGTAGTTGTTTCATACTTTCATCACTTTTCATGTTAACAGGTGTCATTGTTCTCTTTAAAGGAAATGGTACTGGTAATTCTGTGTTGGCAGAGTAATATGTTTAAATAAAAATACAGGTGTTTATGGATCCGTCTACAACTGATAGGTAATGACAGGTTTCTCTGCAGGATCACATGTTTAACATTTCTTTAAGGGATGCTCAGATTGGGACAGATATTTTATGGAGGTAATTTGTAACTTTTATTTATTTCAGGGAATGTTCAAATTGTCAAGGATATTTTGAACCATAGTCTATGTCCTGATGTCAATGCAAAAAGTGAATGGGGTAGGTTAATTATGTACCAGTTTTGATCAAGATAAAGACTAAATTTTATTTATACCACAATGTATTTCACATTTTATTGATGAGGATACAATGGCAGCAACACCTGTGTCCACTGTAACATCCTATAAAAGATATTTTAATGTAAATTTGAATGGAAGTTAATTAAATACTGAAGGGTCGTTATTTGTGGATGACCTCTTGATCTGTTACAGATCTAAGAACATGCACACGATAGAACGACAACTTCAACATGTCTATGTCTAACCCTTGGAGCTTTTCGAACAACACCTGTAAAAAGCCTGTACGTGGAAGCGAATGAACCATCCTTTAATGACAGAATGAAAAAACTTGCATTGCAGTTTGCAGCTCAATTAAAATCAAAACCCAAAAAATCCTGCTTATGACCAAGTATTCAATCCAAAATACCAAAACATAAATATGCAAAACCCAAAATTTCTGCCAACATTTGGTATCCGAATTTCAAATTTCCTGCAAGAACTCAACATAAAGTTGACTGACATAGCTGAATTTAACATATTTGTTCAGACTCTCTATCTGTCCTACAGAGTTTACAGTTAAGAGATCCTAAAAACACACTCATACAAAACCTTGCTCTTCGAAATCTCGTATCTTAAAAAAGTCTTAAAAAACTTTACTACTTCAAAATGAATGGCAGCAACGCTGGTCTCTCGAAGTCGGAAAGATTGTATAGAGGAAGTTGTCCTCGCTCGGCTCCGTACTGGGCACACATATCCTACTCATTCGTACCTTTTAAAACGAAAAGATCCACATTCATGCCGCGCATGTGACACTCCATTAACAGTGGAACATTTTTAGGTCACCTGAGACAAAGTCTCAAGTGACCTATTGCGATCGCCTTTTGTCCGTCGTCGTCCGTCGTCCGTCGTCTGTCGTGCGTCCGTAAACAATTTACATTTTCGACTTCTTCTCCAAAACCCATGAACCAATTTCAATGAAATTTTGCAGGGACCTTCCATGGACAAAGGTCAACAAAAACAGTTGCCGGTGTAGTCCCAGGCCCCCAGGGGCCTGAGGGGCAGGCCAAAAAGGGTCAAATTGACTAAAATTTCAAAAATCTTATTCTCCAAAACCCCTGAACCAATTTCAATGAAATTTTGCAGGGACCTTCCATGGACAAAGGTCAACAAAAATAGTGGCCGGTTTAGTCCCAAGCCCCCCAGGGGCCTGAGGGGTGGGGCCAAAAAGGGTCAGATTGACTAAAATTTCAAAAATCTTCTTCTCAAGACCCAGATATGGTAGAATCAAATACTCTTCATAGATGGAAGGGTCTTAAGGTGCTTTACCGAAATTGTGAATTTCTTGACCCTGGGGTCTCACGTTTCCCCCTGGGGAGGGGGTAAACTTTACTATAGTTTATATAGGGAAATCACATTTTGGACCAACATTTGTTTAATTTCCATTGGAAGTAATTCAATTTGGGTTAGCATTATCAGTATTAGGTAGCAGTTTGATAGTATGCACCTATGAGCCCTGACTGACCCCCAGGGGCTGATGGGTGGGGCCAAAAAGGGTTGAATTGACTGAAATTTCAAAAATCTTCTTCTCAAGACCCAGATATGGTAGAATCAAATACTCTTCATAGATGGAAGGGTCTTAAGGTGCTTTACCGAAATTGTGAATTTCTTGACCCTGGGGTCTCACGTTTCCCCCTGGGGAGGGGGTAAACTTTACTATAGTTTATATAGGGAAATCACATTTTGGACCAACATTTGTTTAATTTCCATTGGAAGTAATTCAATTTGGGTTAGCATTATCAGTATTAGGTAGCAGTTTGATAGTATGCACCTATGAGCCCTGACTGACCCCCAGGGGCTGATGGGTGGGGCCAAAAAGGGTTGAATTGACTGAAATTTCAAAAATCTTCTTCTCAAGACCCAGATATGGTAGAATCAAATACTCTTCATAGATGGAAGGGTCTTAAGGTGCTTTACCGAAATTGTGAATTTCTTGACCCTGGGGTCTCACGTTTCCCCCTGGGGAGGGGGTAAACTTTACTATAGTTTATATAGGGAAATCACATTTTGGACCAACATTTGTTTAATTTCCATTGGAAGTAATTCAATTTGGGTTAGCATTATCAGTATTAGGTAGCAGTTTGATAGTATGCACCTATGAGCCCTGACTGACCCCCAGGGGCTGATGGGTGGGGCCAAAAAGGGTTGAATTGACTGAAATTTCAAAAATCTTCTTCTCAAGACCCAGATATGGTAGAATCAAATACTCTTCATAGATGGAAGGGTCTTAAGGTGCTTTACCGAAATTGTGAATTTCTTGACCCTGGGGTCTCACGTTTCCCCCTGGGGAGGGGGTAAACTTTACTATAGTTTATATAGGGAAATCACATTTTGGACCAACATTTGTTTAATTTCCATTGGAAGTAATTCAATTTGGGTTAGCATTATCAGTATTAGGTAGCAGTTTGATAATAAGCACATATCAGCCCTGACTGACCCCCAGGGGCTGATGGGTGGGGCCAAAAAGGGTCGAATTTACTGAAATTTCAAAAATCTTCTTCTCAAGACCCAGATATGGTAGAATCAAATACTCTTCATAGATGGAAGGGTCTTAAGGTTTATGACCCTAGGGTCTCACGTTTACCCCCTGGGGAGGGGGGGGGGGGTCACATTTTATTATGGTTTATAATGGCAAATGATACTTTGAATATTACATGTTAATAACTTGATTGGAATTATAACCTTGAGTTGACAGTTTGATACTTTGAAAATTTTGAGCCAGCCCTACCCCCAGGGTAGGTAGGCTGTAGGGTGGGGCTCAAAGGAGTCAGTGTGCTAAAATTTCTTCTTTTTCCTTGTCTAGAATCAGAGGTGCTAGTTTCAAATACTTTTTAGTCTGAAATCTGTATGCTAGATATTGAATAAGGTGGTTTTATTGTTTTTTGTCACTTTGAATAATATTTCTGTTCATGTTAAAAACAAAATCAACTCTCTGTATCAATATATCAGGTGACCGTTAAGGCCCATGGGCCTCTTGTTAGCTCACCTGGCCCAAAGGGCCAAGTGAGCTTATGGCATGGTGCGGCGTCCGGCGTCCGGCCATCGCCCGGCCGTCTCCCGGCCGTCGTCTGTCCATCCATCCGGCATCCGGCGTCCGTCCGGCGTCAACTTTTTACTTTAAACAACTTCTTCTCAGTAACCAAAAGGCCTATGGTGATGATATTTGGCCAGAAGCATGCTTGAATGAAGGGCTACCAAGTTTGTTCAAATAAATGACCTTCATCAATTTTCAAGGTCACGGGGGTCAAATATGTTAAAATCTTTAAAAAACTTCTTTTCAATAATCAAGAGGCCCAGGCTGATGATATTTGGCATGTAGCATGCTGGGATGAAGTGCTACTAAGTTTGTTCAAATGAATGACTTTGACCCACTTTCAAGGTCACAGGGGTCAAATGTCTTAAAATCTTCAAACGACTTCTGATAAATAACCAAAAGGCCCAGGGTACTGATATTGGGCCTGTAGCATGCTGGGATGAAGGGCTACCGAGTTTGTTCAAATGAATGACCTTGACCAACTTTCAAGGTCACTGGGGTCATATGTCTTAAAATCTTCAAACAACTTCTTCTCAATAACCAAAAGGCCCAGGGTACTGATATTTGGCCTGTAGCATGACTGTTCTTGACCCACTTTCAACCTAATGGCATTGTTCGACATTCAAGGTCACAAGCGTCATATGTTTACATCTTTTAATAGGTTCTTACGAATCAAACACTGATATTCTGCCTGTTGCTGTATTTTAGTCCACTTTTAAGATTACAAGTGTGAAATTAATACCAGGTGAGTGATGCAGGCCCATTGGGCCTCTTGTTTAATAGAATGTTCTGATTTTAAACACATTCGTGATAACTACTTTCTGATCCTGGATATGAAAACTCTTTTCAGTTCTGTGGACTCGAAGGCATTATTTAACTATTTGAAAGACATTGGTCTATTCTATAGACTCTGATGTCTTTTAACCCACCTTACCCTTTTTTGACGCTCTATATATCACATAGTCAATATCATCTATTCGTTATCTCTTTTAACCCCCTTTATATTTTTAATTATCTACACATACAATGTGAATGCTTTTAAAATGAACCTTTTTAACTGATTTTATCTTCGCTACTCGCATGTTTGTTTAAAAAAAAATAAAAAAAATATCACCATGGCCCTAAATGACCACAGCTGTCGATGGGACGTTAAACCTAAACATTAAAACAAACAAAAATAATTAAATACTGAAATAAAAAGCAGTATAAATATAGTTAAAGCAACAATCTAATTATAGGTTTCTTACCATGTACTGATTACTGTAAAAATCATCGTCTGAATTCTTTGGTTCCGTGTTCAACACACATGCCTTCCCAGGGCGCACCCTTGGAAATATGTCACGACAAAATCAAAGGCCTGCTATAAGCTATTTGATTGGTGTCAGGTATCTGACCAATTGACGTAGGCTGATTTCTGTTCTTTGAAGATTACAGAGAAGTGAAATCAAACATTACAGACTGTCAATTTTACCGTAATGCTGCTCCTTAGTTCACCGTTACGCTGCTCCTTAGTTCACCGTTACGCTGCTTCTTAGTTCACCGTTACGCTGCTCCTTAGTTCATCGTTACGCTGCTCCTTAGTTCCTTCATCAAAGACATCAGACTAGTCTCCTTGTATCATCCACAAGATGTTGTATAAAAAGCCTCAATTTTGTCATGTCTGTTTTCTTTGTTAAGCAAAGAGTGTAATTTATCCATCCTGCCTCTTGAGAATGTTAAAATGAATCTCATTACAAAGATTGGATACACATAATTATGCTACCAGGATTGGCTTCAGGGTCCAGCCTTTTGCATGGGATCTTTAGTTGCAATATTACATTTACATGAGAACATTTTACAATGATTGCTTAAATATCAAGGTGAGTGATACAGGTCATCTTGTTGTGATGAGGTTAGATTTATGATAAAGAAATTCAGAAATAATAACATTTCCTTTTTCAATGCTAGTCAGTTTGTAGGAACACAATGATAACAAACCAATAACACATGGTTTTGTTGTTTTAGGTACGACAGCGTTACACGATGCCTGTAAATACGGATTCCAGGATATTGTACAGCTACTTATTGAACACAAAGCAGATGTGGAAATGAAAGATAGAGCAGGGTTAACTCCCCTTCATGTAAGGCAAATAGGTTGTCTCCCTTGCTTAGATTCACTCTGAAATGTGAATTAATTTCCACTTACATATATAACAGAAGTGTCAGACTGTCAAATCTTAGTTACCGTATTTATTTGGCAGAAAGCCCATGCTTGGTAGTAAGCCCACCATATTGTATATTGCAGTTTGGATGAAATGCCAAAAAAAGCTATTTCATTGTCCTGAAATAAGCCCACCCCCTACTTTCAGTCACGATTATGTGTTCGTCCCCTGGGCTTTTTGCATGATAAATATGGCACTTGATCTATTAATGTACTTGAATTAATATTTAAAGTACCTGGTATTTCATTCTGGTAAAATTTTCCTATCTAAATGAAAATTGTGAACATTTTGTCTGTTTAAGACTGTAGACTATTGATATACCCTGTACTGATGTGGAGCCTGCATTAGAAACTAAGCCCGCGAGTCCTTTTAAATATGTGTTAATCAGGTATCAGACCTTCTTGACTCCAGGGTTAAATATGTGTTAATCAGGTATCGGACCTTCTTGACTCCAGAGTTAAATATTAGTTAATCAGGTATCGGACCTTCTTGACTCCAGAGTTAAATATGTGTTAATCAGGTATCGGACCTTTTTGACTCCAGAGTTAAATTTGTGTTAATCAGGTATCGGATCTTCTTGACTCCAGAGTTAAATTTGTATTAATCAGGTATCGGACCTTCTTGACTCCAGAGTTAAATTTGTGTTAATCAGGTATCGGACCTTCTTGACTCAAGAGTTAAATTTGTGTTAATCAGGTATCAGACTTTCTTGACTCCAGAGTTAAATATGTGTTAATCAGGTATCGGACCTTGTTGACTCCAGAGTTAACTTTGTGTTAATCAGGAATCGGACCTTCTTGATTCAAGAGTTAAATTTGTGTTAATCAGGGATCGGACCTTCTTGACTCAAGAGGTAAATTTGTGTTAATCAGGTATCGGACCTTCTTGACTCCAGAGTTAAATTTGAATGAACCCTCTGGGACCTAGTATTCAGTGATACTGTGAAAAAGTAACTATGAAATCTACTTTTTATGCTTAATTACCAATCATAGAAATAACGTAAATCCCAGCTCCAGAGACATGTGTTACCTTTACATTTTTACCTGTCTCCAGAGTCAGGTGTTACCTTTACATTTGTACCTGTCTCCAGGGTCAGGTGTTACCTTTACATTTGTTCCTGTCTCCAGAGACAGGTGTTACCTGTACATTTGTTCCTGTCTCCAGAGACAGGTGTTTCCTTTACATTTGTACCTGTATACAGACATGTGTTACATTTACCTTTGTACCTATGTCCAGAGACAGGTGTTACCTTTACATTTGTACCTGTCTCCAGAGTCAGGTGTTACCTGTACATTTGTACCTGTCTCCAGAGACAGTTGTTACCTTTACATTTGTACCTGTCTCCAGAGTCAGGTGTTACCTGTACATTTGTACCTGTCTACAGAGTCAGTTGTTACCTTTACAATTGTACCAGTCTCCAGAGACAGGTGTTACCTTTACATTTGTCCCTGTCTCCAGAGACAGTTGTTACCTTTACATTCGTACCTGTCTCCAGAGTCAGGTGCTACCTTTACATTTGTACCTGTCTCCAGAGTCGGGTGTTACATTTACATTTGTACCTGTCTCCAGAGTCAGGGGTTACCTTTACATTTGTACCTGTCTACAGACATGTGTTACATTTACATTTGTACCTATCTCCAGAGACATGTGTTACCTGTACATTTGTACTTGTCTACAGAGACAGGTGTTACCTTTACATTTGTACCTGTCTCCAGAGTCAGTTGTTACCTTTACAATTGTACCAGTCTCCAGAGACATGTGTTACCTTTACATTTGTACCTGTCTCCAGAGACATGTGTTACATTTACATTTGTACCTGTCTCCAGAGTCAGGTGTTACATTTACATTTGTACCTGTCTTCAGAGACAGGTGTTACCTTTACAGTTGTACCTGTACATTGTTGATGGTTATGTCTACAGCGGTCCTGTGCCACGAACAGAGCTGAGATGATTCCAATCCTGGTAGAAAAAGGTGGTGCCAACCTTCAGTCCTCTACACCTAAAACATCTTGGGTACCCATGCATGATGCAGCAATGCGTGGACATGTCAAGTGTATCAAGGTGAGATTGGACTGTTATAGTGGACATGTCACGTGTGTAAAGGTGAGACTTGACTGTTATAGTGGACATGTCAAGTGTGTAATGGTGAGACTGGACTGTTATAGTGGACATGTCACGTGTGTAAAGGTGAGACTTGACTGTTATAGTGGACATGTCAAGTGTGTAAAAGTGAGACTGGACTGTTATAGTGGACATGTCACTTGTGTAAAGGTGAGACTGGACTGTTATAGTGGACAGGTCATGTGTGTAAAGGTGAGACTGGACTGTTATAGTGGTCATGTCATGTGTATAAAGGTGAGACTGGACTGTTATAGTGGACAGGTCATGTGTGTAAAGGTGAGACTGGACTGTTATAGTTGACAAGTCAAGTGTGTAAAGGTGAGACTGGACTGTTATAGTTGACATGTCAAGTGTGTAAAGGTGAGACTGGACTGTTATAGTGGACAGGTCACGTGTGTAAAGGTGAGACTGGACTGTTATAGTTGACATGTCAAGTGTGTAAAGGTGAGACTGGACTGTTATAGTGGACAGGTCACGTGTGTAAAGGTGAGATTGGACTGTTATAGTTGACATGGCAAGTGTGTAAAGGGGAGACTGGACTGTAATAGTGGACATGTCAAGTGTGTCAAGGTGAGACTGGACTGTTATAGTGTCACATGTGTAAAGGTGAGACTGGACTGTTATAGTGGACATGTCACGTGAGTAAAGGTGAAGGTGAGACTGGACTGTTATAGTGGACATGTCACGTGTGTAAAGGGGAGATTGGACTGTTATAGTGGACATGTCATGTGTATAAAGGTGAGACTGGACTGTTATAGTGGTCATGTCACGTGAGTAAAGGTGAAGGTGAGGCTGGACTGTTATAGTGGACATGTCAAGTGTGTAATGGTGAGACTGGACTGTAATAGTGGACATGTCAAGTGTGTAAAGGTGAGACTGGACTGTTGTCACGTGAGTAAAGGTGAAGGTGAGACTGGACTGTTATAGTGGACATGTCAAGTGTGTAAAGGTGAGACTGGACTGTAATAGTGGACATGTCAAGTGTATAAAGGTGAGACTGGACTGTTATAGTGGACATGTCACGTGTGTAAAGGGGAGATTGGACTGTTATAGTGGACATGTCAAGTGTGTAAAGGTGTGACTGGACTGTTATAGTGGACATGTCATGTGTGTAAAGGTGAGACTGGACTGTTATAGTTGACATGTCACGTGTGTAAAGGTGAGTCTGGACTGTTATAGTGGACATGTCATGAGTGTAAAGGTGAGACTGGACTGTTATAGTGGACATGTCATGTGTGTGAAGATGAGACTGGACTGTTATAGTGGACATGTCAAGTGTGTAAAGGTGAGACTGGGGACATGTCATGTGTGTGAAGATGAGACTGGACTGTTATAGTGGACATGTCATGTGTATAAAGGTGAGACTGGACTGTTATAGTGGACATGTCACATGTATAAAGGTGTGACTGGACTGTTATAGTTGACATGTCAAGTGTGTAAAGTTGATACTGGACTGTTATAGTGGACATGTCATGTGTGTAAAGGTGAGACTGGACTGTTATAGGTGACATGTCAAGTGTGTAAAGGTGAGACTGGACTGTTATAGTGGACATGTCACATGTGTAAAGGTGAGACTCGACTGTCATAGTGGACATGTCAAGTGTGTAAAGGTTAGACTGGACTGTTATAGTGGACATATCATGTGTGTAAAGGTGAGACTGGACTGTTATAGTGTACATGTCATGTGTGTGAAGATGAGACTGGACCGTTATAGTGGACATGTCATGTGTGTGAAGATGAGACTGGACCGTTATAGTGGACATGTCATGTGTGTGAAGATGAGACTTGACTGTTATAGTGGACATGTCAAGTCTGTAAAGGTGAGACTGGACTGTTATATGTAGTCATGATACAGCATAGTCATTTCTCATGTTATCTGGACATGTCATGTGTGTAAAGGTGATACTGGACTGTTATAGTGGACATGTCCAGTGTGTAAAGGTGAGACTGGACTGTGAGACTGGACTGTTATAGTGGACAAGTCAGTGTGTAAAGGTGTGACTGGACCGTTATAGTGGACATGTCATGTGTGTAAAGGGTTATAGTGGACATGTCATGTGTGTAAAGGTCTGACTGGACTGTTATAGTGGACATGTTATAGTGGACATGTCAAGTGTGGAAAGGTGAGACTGGACTGTTATAGTTGACATGTCAAGTGTGTAAAGATGAGACTGGACTGTTATAGTGGATATGTCACGTGTGTAAAGGTGAGACTGGACTGTGATAGTGGACATGTCAAGTGTGTAAAAGTGAGACTGGACTGTTATAGTGGACGTGTCAAGTGTGTAAAGGTGAAACTGGACTGTTATAGTGGACATGTCCTGCGCGTGAAGATGAGACTGGACTGTTATAGTGGACATTGTTATAGTGGACATGTCACGTGAGTAAAGGTGAAGGTGAGACTGGACTGTTATAGTGACATGTCACATGTGTAAAGGGGAGACTGGACTGTTATAGGGGACATGTCAAGTGTGTAAAGGAGAGACTGGACTGTTATAGGTGACATGTCAAGACTGTCATAGTGGACATGTCAAGTGTGTAAAAGTGAGACTGGACTGTTATAGTGGACGTGTCAAGTGTGTAAAGGTGAAACTGGACTGTTATAGTGGACATGTCCAGTGTGTAAAGGTGAGACTGGACTGGTATAGTGGACATGTCACGTGTGTAAAGGCGAGATTGGACTGTTATAGTGGACATGCCACGTGTGTAAAGGTGAGATTGGACTGTTATAGTGGACATGCCACGTGTGTAAAGGTGAGATTGGACTGTTATAGTGGACAGGTCAAGTGTGTAAAGGTGAGACTGGACTGTGATAGTGGACATGTCAAGTGTGTAAAAGTGAGACTGGACTGTTATAGTGGACGTGTCAAGTGTGTAAAGGTGAAACTGGACTGTTATAGTGGACATGTCAGGTGTGTAAAGGTGAGAGACATGTCACGTGTATAAAGGTGAGATTGGACTGTTATAGTGGACATGTCACGGGTGTAAAGGGGAGATTGGACTGTTAAAGTGGACATGTCAAGTGTGTAAAGGTTAGGCTGGACTGTTATAGTGGACATATCATGTGTGTAAAGGTGAGACTGGACAGTTATAGTGGACATGTCATGTGTGTGAAGATGAGACTTGACTGTTATAGTGGACATGTCACGTGTATAAAGGTGTGACTGGACTGTTATATGTAGTCATGATACAGCATAGTCATTTCTCATGTTATCTCAAATACTTTTATATTAAAAGTAATTTCATTGTCATATTACAGACATTAATTATTTTGAATTCATTTTCTATGCTCCCTAAAAGACATTGTTTATCATGAAATAAATTCACATGTCTATTTGTTATCTCAATTATTTCAAAATCAGTTAGATGGATCGATCTGCTGTAGACTTACTTCCCTGTATGCTGAAACCTATTTCTACATCTGGGTAGACAGACAAACTGGTTCAATTAAGACACAACATACATGGTACTAGAATCAAACTTGTTAAGAGCATTCACATTATATAGGGAGATATAAAGCCCCTTATGTGTAGTGTTGTTTTGAGCAATCAGCTAACTTGTTGCATGTTTATGGTCAGGCCTTGCTAAAGATGAACGCCCCTCTGATGCCACGCGCCGAGGATGAACAGACGCCACTGGACCTGGCCATCAAGTACAACAGGGACGATTGCATAAAATTACTCAGTAAGTCACATCCTACAGTTTATTACTACAGAAGTAAACCTACGGTAGTCAAGTACATTTGTTTTGTAGTAGGATGCTGGGGTCGTGACTGAAGGGTTGCGGGTTTGAGTCGGGTCATGCCACTGTGTTGTATCCTTGAACAAGATATTTTACTTTGCTTGTTCCAGTCTACTCAGCTGTAAATGAGTACGTGGTTGGGCAGTGCTTGAATTATTGAATGCTAGCTGTGAGTGCCGAAATGGCAGCACCGGCTGTATGCTCCCCAGGGAGTTGAGAAAGATATTGGCTGGTTGCAAATGCCCTATAACCATGATTAATACTTTGTGAACCGCTTTTAAACAACGTAGGACCTAGGTTGTGATAAAGTGGTATATAAGAACTTCAATTTATTATTATTGATATTATTATTATTACATTTGTATACTTTCAAATATGGTGTATCGTTTTGTTTGTCCAGAATGAGTGCATATTTTTGTCATTGAAAATAAGTACATATAACATATAATATACTAGATATATATACATAGTAATGATATGTCGACAGTGAAATTAACACTGCACTGGCTTCTACTGGTGAAGGGTGACAATTTGACTAGGTGAACGTTTGCCGGTGTACAGTATGATTTACACCAAGGGGTCAAACACTTTGGGGTCAAATATCTCCTTAATATCTTTGTATATTTGCACTGAGTGAGCTTCGTACTTATAACAGATGCTGAAGACAGGCGTCCCATATACACAAAACAGGAGGATTGGCTCCACCCAGACCTAGACAGACAGGTAAGCAACCTGATCACCTTTCACCTGAACGATGTTGGAAGGATTGAGAACTTTGTTATATGATACAATTACATTCGTTCACTCGAAGCATTCTTTCTTTGAACTTTCAGTTTTCAGAATCTTGCTTTTAAAGAAACATTTTTTTTGTCTCGGGAAATTGTTTCTTGGACATGTTCAAATTAAGGAATAACATTTTTCAGATCAACAAAATATAATCAGCTGTAAATCTTGCTATAGTTAAAGAGAGTTAATAGCAGGGCTGCAATGATACATTAACGTGACGATATGATACGTATTACGATACTGTTGTCACAATACATAAAGAAACAGTAGAAGACAAGCGCAAAGACGTTCCAATTTGTAAGGACAATATTCAACTGGAAATAGATTTGGTCCAAAATGGACATGACTTCAAAGTTTTACACAGTTCAGGCCCTCGACGTGCATGCTGATCTGGAGCTGTCACTCGCTATGTTTAAACTGATATGAGTAGACTAAACTCAGAAACGACAAAATCCGGAAAATATTGTAGGTGTATCGTGACCTCCAAAAAATATTGTGTGTCATACAGTATTCAAAATATCGCGATAAATTGTTGTAGCCCTAGTTAATAACACGCCATCACCATGGCAGTAGAGCCTGGTTGTGGTATACAATCACAATTATAATTGACATTACTTTTAACTGGATGTTGACTCTAGTTCGCGTCATTCAAGGTAAACCTGCAACGTTACATAGGAGTTCATATAAAGCGAGGCCACTTCAATCTTACCGCAAACTTTAATCAGATCATAAGGTTGCAATGATACAGAGCTTCACGCCAAATGTTCTCTTATTTGGATATTTTATTCGAATGGAATCAGTTTACTGTTTTTATAAAGATTTATGTATCAACATTCTGTTTTTGGAAAAAAAATTATAGATCAATTTACCATTGGAATTTGTTTACATATTATCAGTGTCTCTGGTATTTTATTCCAGCAAGCCTGTCAACTACTTGACGCTTACCACAAAACAGACGGCTTGTTTCTGGTCCGGAAAAGTCGGAGAAATGTTAACTTCCATGTAATAACATTCTGCTTTAAGAAAAATTACTACAACTTTGAGGTCAAGGTCAAGGTAGGTAAAGGAGGTGCATGCTCAGTATGTACAGTCAAACTTCCATAAATCAATCTTCAAAGATTCAAATTTCTCGATGTGTCGAACTTACAGCAAAGTCTGGAATTTTCCCCTTATAATTAATACACTACTAATATTCAGTTTTCTATTCATGAATTGAACTTGTATGAGTCGAATATCTTGCTGTTTCAAAGTGTAAGCAAGGCATGTTCGTTATGAAAGCATTGGAAATTACAACTAATAAATCAAAATAAAAAAATTACCTGTATGAGAAAATTGGAATGTCCCATGGTTATTTTAACACCTTCATGAACATGTTTGGGTATGAAGCGAAACATACTGGTGACCATGTTTACACAACCTGGTATACATTATCTACAGTTAATAAACTGATACTGATTAATTAACTCACTACTGTTTTCTTGATGCAAAGTGATAATAAATATAGCGTCGACCATTACATAGGATACATTCACCGGAGGTACTTTTCAGTCGTAAGTGTAGGTCTAGTTAACAATTTGGTATGTACGACTGTTATGTATGTTACTGGTTGATGAAATCATTAACTTAACTGGGAGAATTTTTAGAAAAAATTGATTGCCATAAATGTATTTCGAAAATAAATGGCCAACAGGAATCACTCTCAGCAACATGGCGCACGTGATGGACCACATCAATACAGGGCACAGGCTAGGTCAAACAAAGAAATAGTGAATTTGATAAGATCACAATACAAATTACAGCCCGTTATATATCTGTAAATGTAATTAAACTTCTTATCTTGTGTTCATTACATAACAATCACATTCTGTCTGATATACATAACAATCACATTCTGTCTGATATACATAACAATCATATATATAACAATCACATTCTGTCTGATATACATAACAATCACATTCTGTCAGATATACATAACAATCACATTCTGTCTGATATACGTAACAATCACATTCTGTCTGATATACATAACAATTACATTCTGTCTGATATACATAACAATCACATTCCGTCTGATATACATAACATTCACATTCTGTCTGATATACATACCAATCATATACATACAAATCACATTCTGTCTGATATACATAACAATCATAGTTCATTACATAACAATCACATTCTGTCTGATATACATAATATTCACATTCTGTCTGATATACATAACAATCATATACATAACAATCTCATTCTGTCTGATATACATAACAATCACATTCTGCCTGATATACATAACAATCACATTCTGTCTGATATTATAACAATCACATTCTGTCTGATATACGTAACAATCACATTCTGTCTAATATACATAACAATCCCATTCTGTCTGATATACATAACATTCACATTCTGTCTGATATAAATAACAATCATATATATAACAATCACATTCTGTCTGATATACATAACTATCACATTCTGTCTGATATACATAACAATCACATTTTGTCTGATATACATAACAATCACATTCTGTCTGATATAAATAACAATCACATTCTGTCTAATATACATAACAATAACATTCTGTCTGATATACATAACAATCACATTCTGTGTAATATACATAACAATCACATTCTGTCTAATATACATAACAATCCCATTCTGTCTGATATACATAACATTCACATTCTTTCTGATATACATAACAATCACATTCTGTCTGATATTATAACAATCACATTCTGTCTGATATACATAACTATCACATTCTGTCTGATATACATAACAATCACATTATGTCTGATATACATAACAATCATATACATAACAATTACATTCTGTCTGATATACATAACAATCACATTCTGCCTGATATACATAACAATTACATTCTGTCTGATATACGTAACAATCACATTCTGTCTAATATACATAACAATAACATTCTGTCTGATATACATAACAGTCACATTCTGTCTGATATACATAACAATCACATTATGTCTGATATACATAACAATCATATACATAACAATTACATTCTGTCTGATATACATAACAATCACATTCTTTCTGATATACATAACATTCACATTCTGTCTGATATACATAACAATCACATACATAACAATCACATTCTGTCTGATATACATAATATTCACATTCTGTCTGATATACATAACAATCATATACATAACAATCTCATTCTGTCTGATATACATAACAATGACATTCTGTCTGATATACATAACATTCACATTCCGTCTGATATACATAACAATCATATATATAACAATCACATTCTGTCTGATATACATAACACTCCTTTACATAACAATCACATTCTGTCTGATATACATAACCGTCACATTCTGTCTGATATACATAACAATCACATACATAACAATCACATTCTGTCTGATATACATAATATTCACATTCTGTCTGATATACATAACAATCATATATATAACAATCACATTCTGTCTGATATACATAACAGTCACAATCTGTCTGATATACATAACAATCACATTCTGTCTAATATACGTAACAATCACATTCTGTCTGATATACATAACAATCACATTCTGTCTAATATACATAGCAATCACATTCTGTCTGATATACATAACAATGATATACATAACAATTACATTCTGTCTGATATACATAACAATCACATTTTGCCTGATATACATAACAATCACATTCTGTCTAATAAACATAGCAATCACATTCTGTCTGATATACATACCAATCACATTCTGTCTGATATACATATCAATCACATTCTGTCTGATATTCATAACAATCACATTCTGTCTGATATCCATAACAATGACATTCTGTCTGATATACATAACAATTACATTCTGTCTGATATACATAACAATAACATTCTGTCTGATATACATAACAATAACATTCTGTCTGATATACATAACAGTCACAATCTGTCTGATATACATAACAATCACATTCGGTCTGATATACATAACAATGACATTCTGTCTAATATACATAACAATCATATACATAACAATTACATTCTGTCTGACATACATAACAATCACATTCTGTCTGATATTATAACAATCACATTCTGTCTGATATACATGACAATCACATTTTGTCTGATATACATAACAATAACATTCTGTCTGATATACATAACAATAACATTCTGTCTGATATACATAACAGTCACAATCTGTCTGATATACATAACAATCACATTCTTTCTGATATACATAACAATCACATTCTGTCGGATATACATAACAATCACATTCTGTCTGATCTACATAACAATCACATTCTGTCTAATATACATAACAATGACATTCTGTCTGATATACATAACAATTACATTCTGTCTGATATACGTAACAATCACATTCTGTCTGATATACATAGCAATCACATTCTGCCAGATATACATAACAATGACATTCTGTCTGATATACATAACAATGACATTCTGTCTGATATACATAACAATTACATTCTGTCTGATATACGTAACAATCACATTCTGTCTGATATACATAGCAATCACATTCTGCCAGATATACATAACAATGACATTCTGTCTGATATACAGAACAATCACATTCTGTCTGATATACATAACCGTCACATTCTGTCTGATATACATAACAATGACATTCTGTCTAATATACATAACAATCATATACATAACAATCACAGTCTGTCTGATATACATAACAATGACATTCTGTCTAATATACATAACAATCATATACATAACAATTACATTCTGTCTGACATACATAACAATCACATTCTGTCTAATATACATAGCAATCACAATCACATTCTGTCTGATATACATAGCAATCACATTCTGTCTGATATACATACCAATCACATTCTGTCTAATATACATAACAATGACATTCTGTCTGATATACAGAACAATCACATTCTGTCTGATATACATAATAATCACATTCTGTCTGATATACATAACAATGATATACATAACAACTACATTCTGTCTGATATACATAACAATCACATTCGGTCTGATATACATAACAATGACATTCTGTCTGATATACAGAACAATCACATTCTGTCTGATATACATAACAATGACATTCTGTCTAATATACATAACAATCATATACATAACAATCACATTCTGTCTAATATACATAGCAATCACCTTCTGTCTGATATACATAACAATGATATACGTAACAATTACATTCTGTCTGATATACATAACAATAACATTCTGTCTGATATACATAACAGTCACAATCTGTCTGATATACATAACAATCAAATTCTGTCTGAAATACATAACAATGACATTCTGTCTGATATACATAACAATTACATTCTGTCTGATATACGTAACAATCACATTCTGTCTGATATACATAGCAATCACATTCTGCCAGATATACATAACAATGACATTCTGTCTGATATACAGAACAATCACATTCTGTCTGATATACATAACAGTCACAATCTGTCTGATATACATAACAATCAAATTCTGTCTGATATACATAACAATCACATTCTGTCTGATAGTCATAAAAATCACATTCTGTCTATTATACATACCAATCACATTCTGTCTGATATACATATCAATCACATTCTGTCTGATATACATAACAGTCACATTCTTTCTGATATACATACAATCACATTCTGTCTGATATACATAACCGTCACATTCTGTCTGATATACATAACAATCCCATTCTGTCTGATATACATAACAATCACAATCTGTCTGATATACATAACAATCAAATTCTGTCTGAAATACATAACAATGACATTCTGTCTGATATACATAACAATGACATTCTTTCTGATATACATAACAATCACATTCTGTCGGATATACATAACAATCACATTCTGTCTGATATCCATAACAATGACATTCTGTCTGATATACATAACAATTACATTCTGTCTGATATACATAACAATCACATTCTGTCTGATATACAAAAACTCAGCGTTCAATGTTCAATATTTGTGAGTCGAAGTCCTGATGTTTTTCTTTTCATCTTTCAAGAACAAAAACTGCAAATATTAAGATAATACCATACTTCAAATTTTCTTCTTCAAATTGAAGCAGGTTAAATCTGAATTCAAAATGGCTTTAAATAACATTACCTTTTCGATTAAAGGGAACATGTTTTTCTAGAAATGTAAGAAGATGTATGGTTATTTTTAGGATTATAGGAACAAGCTTGTCCATTACATTGATAACGGTCCATTGTTTCCCTCTCTGGAGCGTGTGATTGACCACTACACCCACCAATCTGACGGACTTACAACCAAACTAACAGCATCCGTCTGTCCAGGTAAAAACAACTTATACTTGATCACTTTCCTTAGGAGAGCTTTGGATTTTACTTCGAGTGTCGTGTTGCAATGAAACATTTTACCATGAGGTGTTGGTATTGTATACTTTATCTGTCGGACTGTAGGAGTGGTTAGCAGACCACAAAATGTACAAGTCTTTTCCAGTCTACAACTCGTTAAAGTGTTCAGTGGTTCATATCTGTTTAGACATACTATTTCTCATACAAACTTTTAATTGAGTAAATTCCAAAAGTGTTTAGGACTTTGATGTATTAAATAACCTTCATAGGAATTCACATCATCCTTTTCATGTTAAATTGATGTCATTTATATTCATGGAGTCCTAATTGATGTAAAATTATTTCTAAATAAATTGGCTTTAAATGTAACCGGTATCTTCATTAATTAGAAACAGGGAGGGTCTTAACATTGTGTTGGAACTGTTAGGCTACTGGGGTCATTTTGGGAAGGGGAGTCAAAGTGAGTCTCTGGATAATAGTTCTTGTTTGATGAAATTGATAAATCTAGACTTTTATCGACGTTTACAGGTCAGGAAGAGTTGGTTTATGTACGTTCTGAAAACAAGTCAGTGGAGCGGTCTCATCAAGGTATGTCATACATACTGTTACTCTCACGTTTCTCTACCATCTGAATGTCCTTGTGTCAGCACTTTATGTACTTATCTTTGTTCCTCTGTGGTATGTGCTAAGAAGCCTAACACAAGTGTCTTTACACTGACGGTGTCAAAATCTTATAATTATGTTTTTAATCTCTGGCTGATCAGAAATCTAAGTGTTACTGCCACTAGACCTAGTAGTAGTAGTATTTTTAGTGGTGGAAATAAAATTATAATTTTTGATTAGGGGATTTACATCTGTATACTGTAAATGTACATTTTTTAGCCGTGGTCTTATTTTAGCACTTTTTGTGCTTTATATATTGTGCTAAATGACTGCACCAGTAAATATATTGTGCTAAATGACTGCACCAGTATATATATTGTGCTAAATGACTGCATAAGTATATATATTGTGCTAAATGACTGCATACGTATATATATTGTGCTAAATGACTGCGTCAGTATATATATTGTGCTTGTGCTAAATGACTGCGTCAGTATATATATTGTGCTAAATGACTGCACCAGTATATATACTGTGGTAAATGACTGCACCAGTATATATACTGTGCTAAATGACTGCACCAGTAAATATACTGTGCTAAATGAGTGCACCAGTATATATACTGCACTAAATGACTGCACCAGTATATATACTGTGCTAAATGACTGCACCAGTTTAAGTTCTTGTATGTTGTTTTCTGTTACATAGGTTTCTTTTGTGGGTGCACCAATTCATCAGTGCGCTACTCTGTAAAACAAAATTTAGCACAGTGTTTTTTTATGATAATTTCCAATTGTGTGTTCCTCAAGAAACCTTGGGACATAGATCAAGATTGTTAATTTTTGTTTTCTATACAAACTTCTTTTGAACTCTGTCTGTATCCCATCATGCTGTGCAGTCCCAAAAAGCATGCCGAGACCAAATCTTCCACCGAGGGATGAGCCCGAGGTTCCTGAGGACACGTACGCAGAACCTGCGAATGTCAGTGAACCCCCACAACTACCGCCAAGTCGCAATGTGAGTGTTACTATGACAACCTAACAAACATGTATATATTATATTTATATCTTTCCCTTATTCAGACTAGTAAACTGTGACTGCATATAAATTAGCATATACGCAATAAAAAAAGGCTCGATGGATTGATACCTGTTTCAAATATGGAGTCGTTCACGCTTCAGCGAGATAACTGTTTGATGACAGCCATTGTTTGGTTCCTTCTGTAAACATGGAACATCCATTATGTCTGATTATACAACAAAGGGATGCTGGCAAACTTCTTATTCTATGGACACACATTCAAAGTTCCCTGACGGTAAAGTGTATTACGGTAGCCTTGTTTTGATAATGATAAACAAGGTCGCCATTGTAATGGCAGCTTGTCGCCATGGTTTCTCACGACTATACACACAGAGCACAATCTTCCCTGTACGGAGTGAAACATAAAGTGCAACACCAACAATGTTACAGCAAAATATTACTGCATTAACTAGGTACTAGGTAGAAGAGTAATCTTTGACAATATATTGTAATAACATTATGATTGATAACATAGCTGTATGCCGTTCTGAATGTGCTTCTCAACTTAATGTTTACTACAAAAGACAAAAACAACCACCTATTCTGGGCTGGCTTCATCTGCAGCGGAACAGGAAATCTGTAGCTGTGAATGAAGCAGATTGAAATGCTATTCTGATTGGTCAATATAAAATCAATACAGGACCTTATATCATCATACGTGAAAATAAATGTTCATCTAGTCAAATTTTAATTTTCTCCCTACACCGACTTCATACATGCCATATCTAATGATTTTGGCATGAGACACACGAAAATTGCTTCAGAAAAAATCCTCACAGCGTGAGACCCATTTCTCATGAATTTCAATCGGTCTCACGAAAAGAAACAAAATTTGGTCAATCTTAGTGAATAAACAATAGCTACATGGATTCACACTGACCTAGGTCACTGAGAGGTCGTAAGTCACACGCCAGCCACATAAATTACAGGCCATTCAAATAGCTGCATAGGTGTAAAGTTGTATATGTTTATATGTAGGTATTTCTAGCTGATTTTATCATATAAGTCTAAACAAGCCCCTGTGGCCCGGCTGGCTGATTTAGGGGCGCATGGCTTGGTGACTTGCTCACCGATGTGTGAACTGTTAAGCAATTAAATCAGTGATCCCACATCCATTGGGGGCTACTTGCTAATTAATATGTGATGACAGTTGATACAAACATTAAACAGCAACATACGAGCTGTTAATTGTAAGTAGTGACTATAAAATTGAAACCAGACACTGACATGAATCTAGAATTTATTCTCTTGTAGCTGGGACAGGATTGAGTGTTGATGAGAAAAAACATAAACGCAAGAAAACAAGTTTCTTCACAATTGGATATATAAAAATATTGGAAGTAGTAGTTATTGGTTTACTTTTTTTTTCAGCAAATGAATATTGGATATTCCCAATGTTTTGAGATGTAATAGCAATAAATCTTTCAATTTCGGTTCTAACGAAGTAATTAGAGGCTTCAGAATAACACGAATGTTTAATACTATGTTATATGCAGTATAATTTGAATTTCTCACTAATTCAGAGAAAAAATATCACTATTTTGACCAAACCCATTAAAAAAAATCACTGATCTCACTATTTTGCACAGGAAAGTTATGGAATGTATGTACACTGGTAGAATCCATTTTCATGGAGTGTTTATTTGGCTCTTCCAATGTTATTAGCTCACCTAGCTGGTCCGAAGGACCAAGGTGAGCTTATGCCATACCATGGCGTCCGTCCGTATGTCAACAATTCCTTTAAACGACTTCTTTTTCCTAACCACTAATTGGAATTTAACTAAATTTGACTGGAAGCAACCCTAGGTGGTGGGGATTCAAAATTTTACAATTGGTTGGGCTGACCCCCCCCCCCCCCAGGGGGCTGAGAGGCAGGGCCAAAAGGGGGCAATTTGGCTATATTGCTATAATCGACTTCTTCTCATGAACCAAGTGATGGATATCAACCATATTTGACTGGAAGCATCCCTAGGTGGTGGGGATTCAAACTTGTACAAATGGGCTGAGGGCGGGGGCCAAAATGGGGCAATTTGGCTATATTGCTACACACGACTTCTTCTGTAGAACTATGCACTGGATATCAATCATATTTGATCAAAAACATTCATTGGAGGCAGTGATTCATAATTGTACAGTTGGTGGGGCTGACCCCCCAGGGGGCTGAGGGGCGGGGCCAAATAGGGGCAATTTGGCTATATTGCTACAAACGACTTCTTCTGTAGAACTATGCCATGGATATCGATCATATTTGGTAGGAAGCATTCATGGGAGGCAGGGATTCAAAGTTGTACAAATGGTTGGGCTGACCCCCTGGGCTAAGGGATGGGGCACATTTGCTTCTAGGATGGCCCTAGGATCTGGCCCCACCCTTGGAGAAATAGTCCCTGGGTCATAACTTTAAAACGGTTGAGATCCCCACCCCAAAACTATATATACAAATGCTGGGCATAAAGAGACGAATGCAGTCATGATATTAGAATAGACCCTGGGGTCTGACCGAACCCCTAGGGACCTAGTTTCTTAGTCACAGCTTGGAAACAGTTGAGATCCCCACCCTATAACCATATATACAATTGCTGAGTATAAAGAGATGAATGCACATATGCTTCCAGAATGGCCTTGGGATCTGCCCCACCCTTGGAGACTTAACCCCTGGATCATATCTTTGAAACGGATGAGATCCCCACCCCAAAACTATATATACAAATGCTGGGCAAAAAGAGACAAATGCAGTCATGATATTAGAATTGATCCTGGGGTCTGGCCACAACCCTAGGGACCTAGTTTCTAAGTCACAGCTTGGAAACAGTTGAGATCCCCACCCCATAACCATACATAAAATTGCTTGGCATGAAAAATCTAATACAGATATGCTACAAGGATTGGCCTTGGGGTCTGGCATATTCCCTTGGATCTCATTTGGAGAATATTTTGCCATGATTGCTTAGATATCCAGGTGAGCGATACAGTCCCTCTGGGCCTCTTGTTACTATGAATAGTATGTTGTATACTTATTTTCACTGTTGTGATAAATAACCCTCATTATGGAGGGCAAAAAATGACAAATATAAAATGCTGCAAACGTTTTTCTCAGTACTCAATATTATTTATATTTCTTCACTGCAGTGAAGATATAAGTTTTGGTCAGACCGTGATTATTTCTAATATTTCACTGATGATAATTTGATAAAAGTGTTTACCTTAGCATTATAATAGCACAACTTTCTGTTCTACACCTGTAGCCTCCATCAGCAACCTCAAAAACTGTTCTTAGTGAAACCAAACAGCAGAGCGTTGAAGAATTCAAAAAGGTGATTGACCCTAAGGAGATTGTCCTAGGTAAGTTGTTTGACCCTAATATAAGGTTATTGTCCTTGGTAAGTTGTTTGACCCTAAGGAGATTGTCTTTGGTAAGTTGTTTGACCCTAAGGAGGTTGTCGTAGGTAAGTTGTTTGACCCTAAGGAGATTGTCCTCGGTAAGTTGTTTGACCCTAAGGAGGTTGTCCTTGGTAAGTTGTTTGACCCTAAGGGGGTTGTCCTTGGTAAGTTGTTTGACCCTAAGGAGGTTGTCCTTGGGAAGTTGTTTGACCCTAAGGAGATTGTCCTTGGTAAGTTGTTTGACCCTAAGGAGATTGTCCTAGGTAAGTAATTTGACCCTAAGGAGATTGTGTTTGGTAAGTTGTTTGACCCTAAGGAGATTGTCCTAGATAAGTTGTTTGACTCTAAGGAGAATGTCTTTGGTAAGTTGTTTGACCCTAAGGAGGTTGTCCTTGGTAAGTTGTTTGACCCTAAGGAGGTTGTCCTTGGTAAGTTGTTTGACCCTAAGGAGATTGTCCTTGGTAAGTTGTTTGACCCTAAGGAGAATGTAAATTTCAGTACCCCTTGGGCCATCCGTTCTCCTTTGGGGAGGGGGTAAAATTTACTATAGTTTATATTGGGAAATAAAACCTTTGGGTATATTTTGTTCATTTGCAGTAGGAAATTCATCTTTCTTGGTGCGAATCATCCTTGGAGGAAGATGGTATCAAAATGTAAAATTGGGATTCCTACCCCAACCCCCAGGGGCCAGGGTGGGGCCCCAAAGGGAAAATTAACCAATATTTCAAAAATTGTTTTCTTCAGGCTCAGATGTATTACAATCAAATTCTGTGCATGGATGAAAATTCCGTCTGGGGCTTTATCAAAGACAAAGAGTCAAGTGACCTATTGCGATCGCCTTTTGTCCGTCGCCAAAAAGGGTCAAATTGACTAAAATTTCAAAAATCTTCTCCTCCAAAGCCCCTGAACCAATTTCAATGAAATTTTGCAGGGACCTTCCATGGACAAAGGTCAACAAAAATAGTTGCCGGTTTAGTCCTAAGCCCCCAGGGGCCTGAGGGGCGGGGCCAAAAAGGGTCAAATTGACTAAAATTTCAAAAATCAACTTCTCAAGACCCAGATATGGTAGAATCAAATACTCTTCATAGATGGAAGGGTCTTAAGGTTTATGACCCTAGGGTCCCACGTTTACCCCCTGGGGAAGGAGGGGGGGGGGGGGGGGCAAAATTTATTATGGTTTGTAATGGCAAATGATACTTTGAATATTACATGTTAATAACTTGATTGGAATTATAACCTTGAATTGACAGTTTGATACTTTGAAAATTTTGAGCCAGCCCTACCCCCAAGGGCTGTAGGGTGGGGCTCAAAGGAGTCAGTGTGCTAAAATTTCTTCATTTTCCTTGTTAAAAATCAGAGGTGCTAGTTTCAAATCCTTTTTAGTCTGAAATCTGTATGCTAGATATTGAGTAAGGTGGTTTTATTGTTTTTTGTCACTTTGAATAATATTTCTGTTCTTGTTAAAAACAAAATCAACTCTCTGTATAAATATATCAGGTGACCGTTAAGGCCCATGGGCCTCTTGTTTTAATTTTATTACTCCCCAGCCATCCATTTTTGCTTGGGGAGGGGGTAAAGATGACTTGAGTTTATATAGGGAAATAACACTTTTGGGTATATTTTGTCCATTTTCAGCAGGAAATTATTCAAACTTGGTTGGAATGATTATGATGCCAGATGGCAATTAGATAGTATGAGAAAATAAGATCCTGCGCCATCCCAAGGGGCTGGAGGGGTGGGGCCCTAATGGAGATAATGGTTAAAAGGTAAAAAAATCTTCTTCATCAGACTCAGATGTTTTACTCTTCAAGGATAGAAAGATCCTTACCTAAATTGCCATTACCCTCCCTTGGGGAGAGGGATTATTTCTCAATAGCAAACTAGTTTATTTGAATAGTTTTAAAGTTCGTATCCTTTGGTGACATGACAAGTATTGTATTTCACTTTGTTTACATGTTGTTTTCCACATTTTGTACATCTCAACAATGAAATTGAGGTACCAGTACCTATGATTTAACTAAGGTGACCGCTAAGGACCTTGGGCCTCTTGTTGATTTAATTCTGAGTGTATCTTCTAGCCATACTATTATATTTGCTTTACAGGACAGGATCTTGGTGAGGGAGAATATGGTGCTGTAAAAAAGGGAAAATATACTCACAGAGAAGGCAGATTTTCTCCTAAGGTTAAGGTAAATAAAGTACATAAATATTAATCAAGCCTTTTGAGAACACATTGTTTAACATGATGAAATATCATTTGATTTGATAATTTTCAGCATGTTGTGATCTCATGCTTACAATGAAGCCATATCTATGTTTGCCATGAAGGGTCTATTATTTTCACTCTTTAACAAATATGGCCTATAGCAAAGTGATTTAATTTCTCAGGCTTCGGTTTGAACATATGTTGCTGTAAGCTAATTATGCTGTAATGCTGTAATTTGCATGATGACTGTATACAGTAATGTTGTAACTTTATGACAACTGTATACAGAAAAATTGTAACTTGTATGATGATTGTATACAGTAATGCTGTATATTGTATGATAACTGTATACAATAATGCTGTAATAATGCTGTATCCTGAATGATAACTGTATACAATAATGCTGTATCTTGAACGATAGCTGTATACAACAGTGTTGTAACTTTATGACAACTGTATACAGTAAAGTTGTAACTTGTATGATGATTGTAAACAGTAATGCTGTAACTTGTATGATAACTGTATACAGTAATGCTGTATCTTGTATGATAACTGTATACAGTAAAGTTGTAACTTGTATTATAACTGTATACATTAAATGCTGTAACTTGTATGATAACTGTATACAGTAATGCTGTATCCTGAATGATAAATTGTATACAATAATGCTGTATCTTGTATGATTACTGTATACAGTAATGCTGTAACTTGTATGATAACAGTATACAGTAATGCTGTAACTTGTATGATGATTGTATACAATAATGCTGTATCTTGTATGATAACTGTATACAGTAATGCTGTATCCTGAATGATAACTGTATACAGTAAAGTTGTAACTTGTATGATAACTGTATACATTAAATGCTGTAACTTGTATGATAACTGTATACAGAATACTGTAACTAACAGAACACCTAGTCTCTTTGTAGTTTTTCAAGGTAGATGTTGATCTTACCTTTGTTCCTATTTTGCTATAGTTGCATGGAATATGAGAAATTTCAGTTTTATTGACACTTCCATATTCTCTTGGTTTCTGTATGATAAATAAAGGTTGATTGTTTTACAGATTGATGTGGCTGTGAAGACATTCCACCAGACTGACCCTGCAGTCGGGGTCAATGAGGGCATACTAAGGGAGGCAATCCTGATGCAGGATCTTGATCACTCGAGTATTGTGAAGCTGTATGGTATCTGTGAAAACCCATTCATGTTGGTATGTCAATTATATACTGTATCTGATTTAGTGTAATAGAGGATATTATCACTGTTTGTTAGTTCCATTCATGTTGGTGTGTCAATTATATACTTGATCTGATTTAGTGTAATAGAGGATATTGTCACTGTTTGTTAGTTCCATTCATGTTTGATTTCACTCAAAACATGTAATATCATTCATGTTTACACCAGACTAGCCTCTAATGAGCTTGCTCCTATATTGAATTTTAGGTAGCAAGGCTACACAAATATAAGCTTCCTAACTCACCTTGCCCGAATGCCTGAGTGAGCTCGCAACATGGTGTGGCATCCTCCTGAATAACAAATAGGCATAGGGTGAAGATGTTGGACCAGTAGTGTCCTGGGATAAAGGGCAAGAAAAAAGTTCACATGAATGACCTTGACCAACAAACAAAGTTATAGAGGTCCAGTGTTATAAGTATTTTAATAACATGTTAATGTTCCTTTTAGTAATAAGTAGGCCAGCAGAGATGGTGCTGGGGTAAAGGACTATCAGCTTCATCAGATATATGATTTTGATCCCCCTTTTCAAGGTCACAGAGGTCAAATGCATTAAAACCTTTCAACAACATTTGGTTAACAACCAAATGGCATATTGTTGAGTGTAGGTTTATGGTGTGAAGTGCTATAGACTATGGGATTTGTATGAATGACTAAGACCAAATCTGTAGGTCATATTAGTGAAATAAGTTAAAATCTTCAACAAGGATTCATAACGTGTGGAGTAATGAAACCTTTTAGCATTGATCCATTCATGTAATGATTTTTAGCTCATCTGGTCCGAAACACCATGGTGAGCTTATGCCATACCGCAGCGTCCGTCGTCCGTCATCCGGCAGTCGTCCGGCGTCCATCCGTCAACTTTTCCTTTAAAACACTACTAGTCATGAACAACTGAGCAGATTTTGACCAAATTTGGTCAGAAGCATCCTTGGGGGAAGGGGAACAAATTTTGTATGAATGGTGGGTCTGGCCCCCCTCGGGGCTGAGGGAGGGACCCAATAGGGGAAATATAGCAAATTCTTTATAATCCTTCTTTTTCTGTAGGAATGAAAGGATTTGGTCCATATTTGGTATGAAGCATCCTTGGGTGAAGGGGTACCAATCTTGTATAAACCATGGGTCTGGCCCCCCAGGGGCCTGACGGGCGGGCCCCAATAGGGGAAACATAGCAAATTATTCTTTAAAATTCTTCTTCTGTAGGAATGAAAAGATTTGATCCATATTTGGTGTGGAGCATCCTTGGGTAAAGGGGAACCAATTTCGATAAACGGTGGGTGTGGCCTCCCTGGGGGCTGAGGGGCGGGGCCCAATAGGGGAAATATAGCAAATTCTTTAAAACCCTTCTTCTTCTGTAGGAATGAGAGGATTTGTTCCATATTTCGTTTGAAGCATCCTTGGGTGAAGGGGAACCAATTTTGTATAAACCGTGAGTCTGGCCCCTCTGGGACCTGAGGGGCAGGGCCCAATAGGGTAAATAGAGGTAAAACCTTTATATCATTCTTCTACCATAGAGATTAAGGGATATTATCCTGATTTAGTCTGGAGCATGCTTGGGCAAAAGGGACTCAATTTTGTATAAACAGTGGGTGTGGTATCCCAGGGGGCAGAAGGGCGGGGCCCTATAGGAGAAATAGAGGTTAAACATTTAAAATCCTTCTTCGGCCATCGGGATGAAGGGATTTTATCCTTATTTAGTCTGGAGCATCCTTTGGTCCTTGTTTACTTTTTATCCAGGAATTTGTCCTTGACCCTTATTGAAGGTCACAGATTTGAGAAGATAAATTTGTAGCTATTCATGCCCATTGGGCCTCTTGTGAAGATAAAGCATACATTGTAATTGCATGTTTACAGGCAGATGAGTTTGTTATTGTTTAAAAGTAGAGGATAGAAGGATGTGTTGTTGTTTACAGGTACAGAGGTCTATTGTTGTTTACAGGTACAGGGATCTATTTATGTTTACAGGTACAGGGATCTATTGTTGTTTACAGGTATAGGGATCTATTGTTGTTTACAGGTATAGGGATCTATTGTTGTTTACAGGTACAGGCATCTATTGTTGTTTATATGTATAGGGATCTATTGATGTTTACAGATACAGAGGTCTATTGTTGTTTATATGTATAGGGATCTATTGATGTTTACAGGTACAGGGATCTATTGATGTTTACAGATACAGAGGTCTATTGTTGTTAACAGGTATAGGGATCTATTGTTGTTTACAGGTACAGGGATCTATTTATGTTTACAGGTACAGGGATCTATTGTTGTTAACAGGTATAGGGATCTATTGTTGTTTACAGATACAGAGATCTATTGTTGTTAACAGGTACAGGGATTTATTGTTGTTTACAGGTATAGGGATCTATTGATGTTTACAGGAACAGGGATCTATTGATGTTTACAGATACAGAGGTCTATTGTTGTTTACAGGTACAGGGATCTATTGTTGTTTACAGATACAGGGATCTATTGTTGTTTATATGTACAGGGATCTATTGTTGTTTACAGGTACAGGGATCTATTGTTGTTTACTGTTACAGTGATCTATTGTTGTTAACAGGTACAGGGATCTATGGTTGTTTACAGGTACAGGGATCTATTGTTGTTTACTGTTACAGTGATCTATTGTTGTTAACAGGTACAGGGATCTATGGTTGTTTACAGGTACAGGGATCTATTGTTGCTTACAGATACAGGGATCTATTGTTGTTAACAGGTACAGGGATCTATTGTTGTTAACAGGTACAGGGATTTATTGTTGTTTACAGGTATAGGGATCTATTGTTGTTAACAGGTACAGGGATCTATTGTTGTTAACAGGTACAGGGATCTATGGTTGTTTACAGGTACAGGGATCTATTGTTGCTTACAGATACAGGGATCTATTGTTGTTAACAGGTACAGGGATTTATTGTTGTTTACAGGTATAGGGATCTATTGTTGTTAACAGGTACAGGGATTTATTGTTGTTTACAGGTATAGGGATCTATTGTTGTTAACAGGTACAGGGATCTATTGTTGTTTACAGATACAGAGATCTATTGTTGTTAACAGGTACAGGGATCTATGGTTGTTTACAGGTACAGGGATCTATTGTTGTTAACAGGTACAGGGATCTATTTATGTTTACAGGTACAGGGATCTATTGTTGTTTACTGGTAGAGGAGTTCATTCCCAATGGTGCCCTTTGTGATTACTTGGAGAAGCACAAAGGTACGGATCTATTGATGTTTACAGGTACAGGGATCTATTGTTGTTTATATGTACAGGGATCTATTGTTGTTTACAGGTATAGGAATCTATTGTTGTTTACAGGTACAGGGATCTATTATTGTTAACAGGTACAGGGATCTATTGTTGTTAACAGGTACACGGATCTATTGTTGTTTACAGGTACAGGGATCGATTGTTGTTTACAGGTACAGGGATCTATTGTTGTTAACAGGTACAGGGATTTATTGTTGTTTACAGGTATAGGGATCTATTGTTGTTTACAGGTACAGGGCTCTATTGTTGTTTACAGGTAGAGGAGTTCATTCCCAATGGTGCCCTTTGTGATTACTTGGAGAAGCACAAAGGTACGGATCTATTGATGTTTACAGGTACAGGGATCTATTGTTGTTTACGGGTAGAGGAGTTCATTCCCAATGGTGCCCTTTGTGATTACTTGGAGAAGCACAAAGGTACGGATCTATTGATGTTTACAGGTACAGGGATCTATTGTTGTTTACGGGTAGAGGAGTTCATTCCCAATGGTGCCCTTTGTGATTACTTGGAGAAGCACAAAGGTACGGATCTATTGATGTTTACAGGTACAGGGATCTATTGTTGTTTACTGGTAGAGGAGTTCATTCCCAATGGTGCCCTTTGTGATTACTTGGAGAAGCACAAAGGTACGGATCTATTGATGTTTACAGGTACAGGGATCTATTGTTGTTTACAGGTACAGGGATCTATTGTTGTTTACAGGTAGAGGAGTTCATTCCCAATGGTGCCCTTTGTGATTACTTGGAGAAGCACAAAGGTACAAATAAGATCAAGGTTGACCCAACCCTGTACCTATGGGCATCACAAATCGCTGATGGTATGCAGTACCTAGAGCAGAGAAATATAGTCCATCGGGATCTTGCTGCGAGAAACATTCTTGTGGAATCAAAGCACCAGGTACTGTTTGAGAGAAATTTCCAATTTTTCCTATTGAAGTCTGACTCCAAATGCACCTGGAAAAAAGATCTTTATAAGTTCTCCTGTACTGCTCATGAGTAGATGAAAGGAATTTTTTCAACTATATTTACATTTTCACTGCAACCCACTATATGAACATTACCAGCAGAAGTGCATTTCGTTTGAGTATGACATCAAAAACTCTTGTGATGTCACACATGTTTTTTTTATGACGTCATAGATTAATTTTGCTCAATGAGAGTCTTGTCGCTTTGCTTCGGATAACATGGAGAGTGCCCCTGCATCAAACGCTTAAATGAATACGGTAAATTATTGGTGCCAATTTTATTTACGTAGTGCTGTTCCGCCAATGTCATTTAAAGGAAGATGCATATACAAAACGCAGTAAATAAATGAATATTTCAGAACAAATAAATGAATTCAAACAATTGTTCTTTTGTAAAAATGTTTATATATGGATTGAACACCATTTTTAGCTCACCTGCCCGAAGGGAAAGTGAGCTTATGCCATGATGCAGCGTCCGTCGTCCGTCAACTTTTCCTTTAAAACACTACTAGTCGTGAACGGCCCAGTAGATTTTGACTAAATTTCATCTGGAGCATCCTTAGGCCAAGGGGACTCAATTTTGTATAAATGATGGGTCTGGCCCCCTTGCGGCTGAGGGGCAGGGCCCATTAGGGGAAATATAGCAAATTCTTTAAAATCCTTCTCCTTCTGTAGGAATGAAAGGATTTGGTCCATATTTGGTCAGAAGCATCCTTGGGTGAAGGGGAACAAATTTTGTATAAACCATGGGTCTGGCCCCCAGGGGCCTAAGTGGCGGGCCTAATAGGAGAAACATAGCAAATTCTTTAAAATCTTTCTTATTCTGTAGGAATGAAAGGATTTGGACTAAATTTGGTCTGGAGCATCCTTAGGCCAAGGGGACTCAATTTTGTATAAATGGTGGGTCTGACCCCCCTGGGGCTGAGGGGCGGGGCCCAATAGGGGAAATATAGCAAATTCTTTAAAATCCTTCTTCTTCTGTAGCAATGAAAGGATTTGTGCCATATTTGGTCTGAAGCATTCCTGGGTGAAGGGGAACCAATTTTGTATAAACCGTGGGTCTGGCCCCCCTGGGAGCTGAGAAGCAGGGCCAAATAGGGGAAATATAGCTAATTCTTTAAAATCCTTCTCCTTCTGTAAAAATGAAAGGATTTGTTCCATATTCGGTTAGAAGCATCCTTGGATGAAGGGGAACCAATTTTGTATAAATCATGGGAGTGGTACCCCAGGGGCCTGAGGGGTGGGGCCCAATAGGGGAAACATAGTGAATTCTTTAAAATCCTTCTTCTACCATAGGGATTAAGGGATATTATCCTAATTTAGTCTGGAGCATTCTTAGGCAAAAGGAACTCAATTTTGTATAAACGGTGTGTCTGACCCCTCTGGGGGCAGAGAGGCGGGGCCCAATAGGGGAAACATAGCTTAAACCTTTAAAATCCTTCTTCGACCATCGGGATTATGGGATTTTATCCTTATTTAGTCTGGAGCATCCTTGGGTCAAGGGGACTCAATTTTGTATAATTGGTGGGTATGACCCCCCTAAGTTGCATATAGGTGTGGGGCTCTGTTTGAAGTTTGTTCTCTCTATATCTCAAGTACTGGATGGATCTTTCTGAAATTTCATATGTACTTACAGCACCTACTTCATACCAATTATTTTAAACATATTTAGGTGAGCGATACAGGCCCTCTGGGTCTTTTGTTTAAAATCATCATGCCGGAATGAACGCAAATCGTTCACATCCATTTCAAAAATGAAGCCCTAGCAGGCTTCATGCAATATGGATGTAAACAATTTGCGTTCAAACCAAATAATTAAAAAATGCTGTTCTTTCCCAGTATGAACATGTTTAGTTTTAAGTAACCTCACACTTTAAGGATGTACACCTCTGAGAAGTCAAAAGATTCCTGTATTAAACTTTTTTTTATATTGATTTTTGGAAAAAGGAGATAATGGCATAGTAGAAAATGCAAAAAAAAATATATGTCGGTGTGTTTGTTTTTGTGCTATGATTGGTCAAAGATAACAATTTAACACAATATGTGATTTTAGGTGAATTTTCGAGTTTTGACCATTTGCAGAACAAATTCATACAATTTCTTCCAAGTGTGTTATCAGATGTGTATGAATGTTTGTAGAATTGATAAAAAATATTATTTTCTTTGAAACTATGGAAGTAAAATTTCTTAATCTTATTCATTTTACTCAGAAATGCGATTTTAGTAAGCCTTACCCCTTATTTTTTAATGAAAAAATGCACATTTTTCACCATTTTTTGCAGATTAAACGCTTGATATAAAAAAATCCTGTATTAAACTTTTCTTAGTATTCAATGAATCAAAAGAAAATGTGTTGCTCTTTCTAAAACAGACACAAAATGGTAGGTCGGTGTGCTTCTTTTTTGTCCCATTATTATTTGTGTTATTTTTCACCTTTTCAGGGTCAAAAATCAAAAGTGCTTCAGTTACCCTAATATGTAAAAAAAATATATCAATAATATATAACTTTCCACTTTTTTGCAATCATTTTAATTATATTGAACATTATAAAGTTTTACAGCAAAATTGAACCATGACAATTTAGGTGATCAATCTAATGTCAAAAAGGTGAAATTTTGGCCGTTTGTGAAGTGCAAGAAATTCACATAATACACTTTTTCAAAATGGCTGCCAAATTGGTCATTTTTTAAAAATTCTTGTAAAAAATGTTCTACACATAACAGACATCTATTTTTTTTACATATTTTTCAGATGTGTGTTTGCTATTATACCTATTATAATTTGTTAAATATTACAAAACGTTGCACCAGATCAAAACGAGACTTGAACGTGACTGAAACCTCAGAAGAGTACATCCTTTACAAAGTGAAATACTAATGTCCCCCTGGTGAGAGATTGCCTTAAAACATCCGAGTTGACCGGGGTTCAATGTCAATCTGGTTTACTGAATATCTGCTCTCTTTTTATAACTCCTCTAAAAGAGTACACTGCTGGAATTCATCTGTCCATCTGTTTTATCAGTCTGTCATTATGTCTGTCTGTCTGCCCATCCGTGAGTCCATCTGAGGGTGGAAGTTTTGACACACGTCATGCTGCTTTGGTACAGTAGATCTGCTCCATAGGGAGTTGCATTACTTCTAGCAATGTTCCATATATATAAAACCCAAGTACCTTTTTTTCCACACAGAGGGTTAGTGGTATAATGTAACTTACAATTGTGGTTAATACTTCATTTTCTCCATGCAGGTAAAAATCAGTGATTTTGGTCTGTCAAGAGCTTATGAAGAGGGGCAGTACTACAAGGCTTCAAAGGGAGGGAGATGGCCTATCAAATGGTGAGCTTTATATAAAACTGACTTAATTACCCGGGCATCATCAGTGGCCTACCAAATGGTGAGCTTTATATTAAACTGCCTTAATTACCCGGCCATCATCAGTGGCCTATCAAATGGTGAGCTCTATTTAAAACTGCCTTAATTACCCGGCCATCATCAGTGGCCTATCAAATGGTGAGCTTTATATAAAACTGACTTAATTACCCGGGCATCATCAGTGGCCTACCAAATGGTGAGCTTTATATAAAACTGCCTTAATTACCCGGCCATCATCAGTGGCCTACCAAATGGTGAGCTTTATATAAAACTGCCTTAATTACCCGGCCATCATCAGTGGCCTACCAAATGGTGAGCTTTATATAAAACTGCCTTAATTACCCGGCCATCATCAGTGGCCTACCAAATGGTGAGCTTTATATAAAACTGCCTTAATTACCCGGCCATCATCAGTGGCCTACCAAATGGTGAGCTTTATATAAAACTGCCTTAATTACCCGGCCATCATCAGTGGCCTACCAAATGGTGAGCTTTATATAAAACTGCCTTAATTACCCGGCCATCATCAGTGGCCTACCAAATGGTGAGCTTTATATAAAACTGCCTTAATTACCCGGCCATCATCAGTGGCCTACCAAATGGTGAGCTTTATATAAAACTGCCTTAATTACCCGGCCATCATCAGTGGCCTACCAAATGGTGAGCTTTATATAAAACTGCCTTAATTACCCGGCCATCATCAGTGGCCTACCAAATGGTGAGCTTTATATAAAACTGCCTTAATTACCCGGCCATCATCAGTGGCCTACCAAATGGTGAGCTTTATATAAAACTGCCTTAATTACCCGGCCATCATCAGTGGCCTACCAAATGGTGAGCTTTATATAAAACTGCCTTAATTACCCGGCCATCATCAGTGGCCTACCAAATGGTGAGCTTTATATAAAACTGCCTTAATTACCCGGCCATCATCAGTGGCCTACCAAATGGTGAGCTTTATATAAAACTGCCTTAATTACCCGGCCATCATCAGTGGCCTACCAAATGGTGAGCTTTATATAAAACTGCCTTAATTACCCGGCCATCATCAGTGGCCTACCAAATGGTGAGCTTTATATAAAACTGCCTTAATTACCCGGCCATCATCAGTGGCCTACCAAATGGTGAGCTTTATATAAAACTGCCTTAATTACCCGGCCATCATCAGTGGCCTACCAAATGGTGAGCTTTATATAAAACTGCCTTAATTACCTGGCCATCATCAGTAGCCTACCAAATGGTGAGCTCTATTTAAAACTGCCTTAATTACCCGGACATCATCAGTGGCCTACCAAATGGTGAGCTCTATTTAACACTGCCTTAATTACCCGGCCATCATCAGTGGCCTACCAGATGGTGAGCTTTATATAAAACTGCCTTAATTACCTGGCCATCATCAGTAGCCTACCAAATGGTGAGCTCTATTTAAAACTGCCTTAATTACCCGGCCATCATCAGTAGCCTACCAAATGGTGAGCTCTATTTAAAACTGCCTTAATTGCCCGGCCATCATCAGTGGCCTACCAAATGGTGAGCTTTATATTAAACTGCCTTAATTACCCGGCCATCATCAGTGGCCTATTAAATTGTGAGCTCTATTTAAAACTGCCTTAATTACCCGGCCATCATCAGTGGCCTACCAAATGGTGAGCTTTATATTATATTAGTAAACAAAAACACATGTGAGGTATGCATATCGTCATTCACTTTTGATGACTTCACAAATATCGATGATGTATTTTAACGACATCACAATTGAACACGTGTTAATCGACACGAGGCTATCTTCCCGTATGGGGCGACAAGCTGATATTTCCCGGCTAAAACGGGAGACACGTCTGTGAAGGTTGGGAGAAATCATCATCTCCACTCCATATTTCAACAACAAAATTAGATATTGTAGGACTCAGGAATGACTGTTCCCCTATATAATTATGCTGTATATTTTTCTAGGTATGCCCCTGAGTGTGTAAACTATGGGAAGTTTACACATCACACAGATGTCTGGAGTTATGGCATAACTCTTTGGGAGATGTTCTCCTTTGCTGACCAACCCTACGGTGAAAGGAAAGGCATAGAGGTATGAAAGATGTTCTCTTTCAGTTTCAATACTTGAACTGGTTCAAAAACAACAGAAAAATCTGTAGACTATACTCCAAAAATACCTGCAATATCAATGTATATAAATGTAATGTAAGCTTCTCTTGGGCAAATAGTTTAGAGTATTTGGATATAATCAGTTTTTTTGCTGGAATTTCATGTTGGAATAATGGTTTGTGATCAGTTGTGTCAACATTATTGGAAAATAAAAAAGAAACTGTAAATCAAAGTCTGAAGAGTATATATGTAATAATTTATTTGCATGTTAAAGTTTAAATTTATTTTCAGGTGATTCAATTTGTGGAGTCTGGCGGCCGATTGGAATGTCCAAAAGACTGCCCCCCACAGGTGTATGAGAAAATGAAGAAATGCTGGGAAAAAGATCCAAAAAGGAGACCAAGTTTTACTGAGTTAAAAACTCATTTTCAAACTGATCCTCTTTATGGTGATGCCATTAAATATTTCCGCAGTCAAAAGGATAAGAAGAAAAATTAACATTCAAACGTCATTTAATAATATTGATAAAAAAAAATTGCCAAAGAAAGTAAAACATACAGAAGTAAAACATAACCTTCGAAGCCTGCACACTAAATTCCAGTGTGCTGTGAGAACCAACAGGATTCCAGTATTCTGTGACAACCAATGGGATTCCAGTTTTCTGTAAAGACCAATGAGGTTCCAGTGTGCTGTGAGAACCAACAGGATTCCAGTGTTCTGTGACAACCAATGGGATTCCAGTGTTCTGTGAAGACCAATGGGATTCAAATATTCTGTAAAGACCAATGAGGTTCCAGTATGCTGTGAGAACCAATGGGATTCGAGTATTCTTTGAGGACCAATGAGGTTCCAGTATGCTGTTAGAACCAATGGGATTTGAGTATTCTGTGAGGACCAATGAGGTTCCAGTATGCTGTAAGAGCCAATGGGATTCAAATATCCTGTAAAGACCAATGAGGTTCCAGAATGCTGTGAGAACCAATGGGATTCGAGTATTCTGTAAGGACCAATGAGATAACAGTATTATGTGAGAACCAATGAGATTTGAATATTCTGTGAAGACCATTGAGGTTCCAGTATGCTGTGAGATCCGATGGGATTTGAGTATGCTGCGTGATCCAATGAGATTCCAGTATTCTGTGAAGACCATAGTCTCACAACTGTCTTAACTGAACATCACTAAGACTGTTATTTCTGTTCTCTCTGTGATAAGTAACAGGACAGCACAGGTTAAATACAAAGTACCAACCTATTTAAAAGCCAACCAATATAAAATTGAAGTCAAATTTTGATTATTTTTATAAAATATGTACTTAAATATAATTACATTTACTGTATAATGGAATATTTATGTAACTGATGGGTTTATTCAACAGGGGCCAAGACGTGTTATACATAATAGACATTGTATCTAGTATATAATAGCATCTAGCACGAGTATATACAATATCTAGTATATGTAGTATCTAGTTATAGAATATCTTAATCATTTTGTATACATGGTATCTAGTATACTTAGTAGCTGGTATACAGTAAACAAGGTATCTAGTATAACAGAAATTTGGTGTACAGGGTACCTATACACAGTCTCTTATATACATAGTATCTTATAGACATACTATCTAGTATACTTAGTATCTGGTATGAAGTATACCAGGCATCTAGTATACTAAGTAGCTGGTATATAGTATACCAGGTATCTAGTATACTTAGTATCTGGTATGAAGTATAGCAGGCATCTAGTATACTTAGTATCTGGTATAAAGTATACCAGGCATCTAGTATACTACGTAGCTGGTATATAGTATACCAAGTATCTAGTATACTTAGTATCTGGTATATAGTATACAAGGTATCTAGTATACTTAGTAGTCGGTATATAGTATACCAGGTATTTAGTATACTTAGTAGCTGGTAAATAGTATACCAGGCATCTAGTATACTTTATACCAGCTACTAAGTATAATAGATACCTGGTATACTATATACAAGCTACTAAGTATACTAGATACTATATACCAGTATACTTAGCTGGTATATAGTATACCAGGTATTTAGTATACTTAGTAGCTGGTATACCAGTTATCTAATATACTTAGTAGCCGGTATATAGTATTCCAGGTATCTAGTATTCTTAGTATCTGGTATATAGTATATCAGGTATCTAGTATACTTAGTATCTGGTATACTTAGTAGCTGGTATATAGTATAGCAGGCATCTAGTATACTAAGTAGCTTGTATATAGTATACCAGGTATCTAGTATCCTTAGTATCTGGTATATAGTATACAAGGTATCTAGTATACTTAGTACCTGGTGTAAAGTATCCCAGGGAGCTAGTATATTTAGTATCTGGTATGAAGTATGCCAGGCATCTAGTCTACTAAGTAGCTGGTATATAGTATACAAGGTATCTAGTATACTTAGTATCTGGTATGAAGTATACCGTGCATCTAGTATACTAAGTAGCTTGTATATAGTATACCAGGTATCTAGTATACTTAGTAGCTGGTATATAGTATCTAGTATACTTAGTAGCTGGTATACCAGGTATCTAGTATACTTAGTAGCCGGTATATAGTATACCAGGCATCTAGTATACTTAGTAGCTGGTATATAGTATACAAGGTATCTAGTATACTTAGTAGCTGGTATATAGTATACAAGGTATCTAGTATACTTAGTAGCTGGTATATAGTATCTAGTATACTTATTAGCTGGTATATAGTATACCAGGTATCTAGTATACTTAGTAGGTGGTATATAGTATCTAGTATACTTAGTAGCTGGAATATAGTATACCAGGTATCTAGTATACTTAGTATCCGGTATATAGTATCTAGTATACTTAGTAGCTGGAATATAGTATACCAGGTATCTAGTATACTTAGTGGCTGGGATATAGTATACCAGGGATCTAGTATACTTAGTATCTGGTATATAGTATACAAGGTATCTAGTATACTTAGTAGCTGGTATACAGTATACCAGGTATCTAGTAAACTTAGTAGCTGGTATATAGGATACCAGGTATCTAGTATACTTAGTATCTGGTATATAGTATACCAGGTATCTAGTATACTTAGTAGCTGGTATACAGTATACCAGGTATCTAGTAAACTTAGTAGCTGGTATATAGTATACCAGGTATCTAGTATACTTAGTATCTGGTATATAGTATCTAGTATACTTAGTAGCTGGTATATAGTATCTAGTATACTTAGTAGCTGGTATATAGTATACCAGGTATCTAGTATACAATGTACACGATATTCGGTGTACAGTTTCTAATATACATAGTATCAGGTGTGGGTAAATGCAGTACTGAAATAATTTGTTTCAGACGCTACAGAGTTAAAATGTTACATCTAACATTATCTTTTACAGGAATTTGTTTAATATTTATTAAAAAGCATTATAAAAATAGATTTTAATGATTAACCTAATTTCATGCATCTGAACACATTAAAGTTTTTTATGATAAAAAGGAATAATCTTATTTTGCTGGTCCTAGCTTGCTTAACCCACTAGCTATTTGAATCACTATAATAATTACAATGATAATTTATTAATATTAGATTGTCTAACATAGGTATTTTGTTTTTGATTTTTGAGATGAGATAACCCTATAAATCACAGTAACAGTGTCAGGATGTTACCTGGTCAACACTAATAGAAACAACCAGAATATGCTTTATGAACATTTCTCATAACTGACAGAATAGATCTACCATAAGTAGAATAATTTTATATTATTAAAGTAATCGAAAATAGACCACTGTCATTTCTTTTGTAGAAACGGAACATAACGCTAGCTTTATCTCTGTTTGTTAGCGGAACTGGCCTCTGTCGATTGGAGTAGAGAACATGTGTAGTAAAACTGTACTGGGTCAGTTGGAGTTGAGAACTTGTGTAGTAGAACTGGACTGGGTCAGTTGGAGTTGAGAACATGTGTAGTAGAACTGGACTGGATCGATTGGAGTAGAAACTTTTTGTAGTAGAACTGGACTCGGTTGTAAGGTAACACACCCTGTCTGTCACTGTGTAACACTTAAACAATGGCTTAAGTAAACGCACCCTGTCAGTCACTGTGTTATGCTTAAACAATGGCTTAAGGTAACACCCCCTGTCTGTCACTGTGTAACCCTTAAACAATGGCTTAAGTAAACACACCCTGTCAGTCACTGTGTAACGTTTAAACAATGGCTTAAGGTAACACACCCTGTCAGTCACTGTGTTATGCTTAAACAATGGCTTAAGGTAACACACCCTGTCTGTCACTGTGTAACGCTTAAACAATGGCTTAAGTAAACACACCCTGTCAGTCACTGTGTTATGCTTAAATAATGGCTTAAGGTAACACACCCTGTCAGTCACTGTGTAACGCTTAAATGGCTTAAGGTAACACACCCTGTCTGTCACTGCGTAACGTTTAAACAATGGCTTAAGGTAACACACCCTGTCTGTCACTGCGTAACGTTTAAACAATGGCTTAAGGTAACACACCCTGTCAGTCACTGTGTAACGTTTAAACAATGGCTTAAGGTAACACACCCTCTCAGTCACTGTGTTATGCTTAAACAATGGCTTAAGGTAACACACCCTGTCAGTCACTGTGCAACGTTTAAACAATGGCTTAAGGTAACACACCCTCTCAGTCACTGTGTTATGTTTAAACAATGGCTTAAGGTAAAACACCCTGTCAGTCACTGTGTAACGTTTAAACAATGGTTAAGGTAACACGCCCTGTCAGTCACTGTGTAACGCTTAAACAATGGCTTAAGGTAACACACCCTGTCTGTCACTGTTTAACGTTTAAACAATGGCTTAAGGTAACACACCCTCTCAGTCACTGTGTTATGCTTAAACAATGGCTTGAGGTAACACACCCTGTCAGTCACTGTGTAACGCTTAAACAATGGCTTAAGGTAACACACCCTAGAGTGATCTGGTGTCACAGTGGATAGCACATTGTTCTTTCACCAAGGCTTATTAGCTTATATGACAGTATAATACATTGTTATACGGAATTTTTGTTTGAGTTCCTGTTTGAGAATGAAGCTAAAGCTGAAATGTCATCGAGAAGTACAAAGTAATGTAATTGTAAGTTTTTAAGACATGAACATATTTCTATTCCAAATATTTTTATACGTTTTTTGTACACACATACAAACAGAAGTAATTGACCTATTTGTTATATTTATTGATTCATCATCTATTGAATTTTTATCACGAGATATGGTTATTTTGCATAAATGTAACTACATGTAATCTATTTTTTATATTTTTGTGTTTAAATACATGTTTCATGGGGTGCTGGACTTCATATTTGGGACCAACAGCACATCCGATGATCTATATCATGTTGCATACGGTATGTAACGATCATGAGTTTAGAATGACATACAATATTTACAACTTTGTTGTAAACATTTTGTTTTTATTGTCAAAGTATCGGATTGATGTAAGCTTACATATTCTAGTGGTAGTCTTATTTTAGAACATTTTGTGCTATGAATATCACTCTAAATCACGAATGCGCCAATTGAAGTTGTCCTTGATAGGCCATTTAATATATGTGTTAGTCTGTTACAGTTCGAAAATGCGCTGAAATAAGTATGTTTAAAGTAGTATCTGTGACACTGAGTTTCTTACCTTAGCCATAATACCAAGAAATTTGATTTAAAAGAAATAATTCCATTATTTTATCTTTCGATATGAAAAATTCACTCATTCATTCATTATATAAAATGCTATTACGTATATCTCCAAATTCTTGAGTATTTGTTGAAAAAGCAAAATGAAAACACTCATTACAGTCGGACTTTAATTGTGGTGAATTTAATAAAGATTGAACTAAACATGCACAATGGAATCAATGGATCAGAGACAGGGTCCATTCTATAATTAAAGGTTTGAATTGGAGTTCTAATCAAAACCATTCTTTGTACATATATCATGTTCCTTTATAAAATGATGTATTATGATACATGTCGATAACATTTAGTTTTTTAATGGTCTTCATTACAAAATATGTGACAGATCTTGAACACCATTTTAAAGGTTTATTTTAGAACTTTTCTTTTAGATAAGGAATTTAAATAATTCTAAGTGGTTAAATTGACATCCAAGGATGTGGGTTTTGCAGAAAATATCATAACCATGACCAATACAATTATAATGTCCCAGTATGTTAGGTATCTTTGTCAATATAAGATATTTTGTATTTGCTTGTAATGTTTACAAATACTAAAATATGTTTTCCCCCTTTCCCCACCAATAAAGGATGTTTACGCTACATGACCGAAGGTAGCCCTTTGTACCACTATTGCTTTCGTCCATTGTACGACTGTCAAACCATGTATAAAGATGTTCAGATATTTGCTCACTCTTTTGCTATTCCTCAATGAATTTTCAACAGAAATTTACGTAACAGGCCTCATTTTACTCTTCTCACCGAATTATTTGATTACTATGTAACACAAATTTAAATGGATTCTATAGATTTTTATTTCTTTTTAAGTGCATAATTAATCTGATGTCAGTTTTTCTCCTTCATAAACATAATTTCTAGATTTGCATATATAGGTATAGTAGATACATGATTTTTTTAAATACATTTGAAAGATTTTCGTGGAATTCCACTTATACTAACTAGTCTTTAAGTATTCAATTAAAATTTGACCATATTTAATTGTGTTAACAATAGAATTGACCGCAGGCTAAGTCTGGTATAAGTTCTATCCTGATCGGTTGACACAACGAAGACAGTGATGAAATGATCTGGTCAACAGGGAATGTCTAGACGATTAAGTAGTGTAGGGGGGGACAACTCGGGTACTCTAGAGAATATTCTAATGATTGATCTTCAAAACTTGCTATCTCATGCCCATTCAGGCTATTCAGAAAGAATGAGTGATCTTTTTATGGCATTCAGAAATACTCATTTGTGTAGTAAAAATCAGCAGTTAATGACATCCACAAATTAGTGACATTGTACTAGTCAAAAATTATAACTTCATAATAATTGTACTACAAAAAGTAACAATATCAATATGCTGAAACTAGTCTAATACAGGGCAAGATACTGAAACTATCTAATACAGGGCAAGATACTGAAACTAGAAACTATCTAATACAGGGCAAGATACTGAAACTATCTAATACAGGGCAAGAATACCAATAGTGGGATTACAATGACTGCAAGGAGATATAGATGGGTTTTTTTAAAAATAATTACTGTTTTTTTGTTCTTTAAACTGTTGATATTTTATTGCGCATAAAATAACATCCTTATTCTGGTTATTACCGAGTTTAGATGAACATTATGTCATTGTTCTATTGGTTCATCTTTGATCCCCCTTGATTTCCAGAATAAAAGTAACTAACGACTTCCCTATACCACGCCACCCAGTCCACAAGACACGGATAGCCGTCAGTTCTTGTTTGATTTGTTACGTACCATATACCAAGTCAACCTAACACTGATTACAGATTACAACTTCCAAATCATAGTGTCTGTACATATTGCCAGCGTCATTTATGTTTTTATTTCAGCTTTGCTTTGAAATATTTACTGTCCGTAGTAAAATATACTATTTAGAGACGACAATGGAATATTGAATGATCAATTTCTAATGAGTGATTAAAGGCCCTTTTGGCCTCTTGTTTGGATTAGAATTGTGAAGCTATCATGATTGTATGAAATGTATGGTTCCATATATATTACCTGTGACAGGCTTGTGGTGTATTAATTTAAAGTTTCTTGTTCAACAGAATATACAGACAAGGTTCATGGCAGAACCAATCAAGGATTTTTCAAACAGGAAGATGCACATTTTCTCAATGATACCTGAAACAAAATGGAGTTGAGGTTTGGGTGTTAATAAAACAATGATTGCTAGGCCTACGATCGCCCACACCAGTAATGACCGCATTATTAGGACTGAAGGACAATTTAGTCCCCGTTACAGGGCGGCTGGTCTACCGAGTTTGTCACAGGTAGTACAAAGGGATGTATGCCAACAGTTACTATTTTTCTATAGTTTATAAACATGTTGATAATGCAAAAAATCTGGTATTTTTTATAAAACATATAAAAGTTACTTGTTTCGCAAGAAAGCCATTCCAAATGTATTGCATATTGTAATATTGAGTGTCTATTATTAATACACATGAATGCAATTACATCTGTTAAAAGTGAGGTTTTATGTTAATTAAAAATATATGTTGATTAATCAAAAATAAATAACAATGATGATGAAACGTGTGTTGTTTTCTGTCGCCTGAAAAGTTACGTTTTTGTCCATCGTAAGACATGATGCAGTCATTCGCCATTCATCCCTGTTGTCAAGCAGCCCTGTTGCTAAGCAGCCCTGTTTGTTTTCGATTAGCATCACTCTGTCTTCTATCAAGTATCTATCTGGCAAACAGAGTTGTGTTCAGGCAATGTCTTTTAAGGAATTGTTACACGTTTCAATACGCTGATAGTTTACAGAGGGAGTTCTATTGAAGGAATTGTCAAATTTTTATTAAGCTTGCCGAATATACTTTTGACCTTCTTCAAGTTTGATTAAAAGCCAAGTTCACAAATTCTGTATATATCCATTCAAGTAAAGATTATCTTCTTACCAATGTATGCTAGCTAGTAATGTGTGTATTTGAAGCTGGGTACAGTGAGTGATTATAACTCTGTTTCGCCGAATTCCTGAGATGCTGTCATGGTCACAAACATAAAGCTGATAGAACATAATCAGCGTGCTAGCGTCAATATTTGTTAAATTAAGACAATAAATAACGATATTACCTCTATTCCGAGGAAGTTAACCACTGTTTCTAAGCCTGGGGTCAAATATTTGTTGACAAATCTTAATATTTTGTTTTCGGAAATATACATTTCTCTGTTGTTTACTGAGCGTCTACAAATGCGACTGAATCGTACAGAGATATTGAACAAGTGTGTGTGTATGAATGCCATATGTATTAACGTCTGAAACCGTCAACGAAGGAGATCTCCCTCATTCCATATTTCGAATGAGAGAACGTGTGTGAAACGAGAATGAAGCTGCTTTGCTGAATTTATCTTTCCCTTTTTATGTATCAAAATAACCCCCCAAAGATTCAGATACGCCTTTTGCGATCATAACACACATCTTTTTGCAGTAACTAGGAGCTCATTTAACTACAGAATGTAGATTTTGAGTTTGTGTGAGTTCGGACTTGAATGAGGAAGTTTCGAGGGAAATTTTGGTCAAAACAAGAGGGGCTCGCTCCTGATTAGGGAGGTTTGACAGCTATGAAAGACAGTTACTAACAACTAAGTGATGTTCAAAACTTTCATCCATTGTGTTTGTCACGTACGCAAGTATATATTAAATATTTTTTAAGTATTTTATTAGGGAATTTATGAGGTCAGTATCTTTAAGGTACAGGACGGAATACGTCATGCGTAGCGGTGTTTTGTGACGCACGGGAGAGACATTGAGCATCTTCTGCTGGAAAACCTACTGGAAACTACTCGGTAGTGAAGCGGACGTAAAATCATTCAAACAAACAACAGGTCTTGAAGATATACGGGTGGACACATCCTCGATATCCAGTGGTTACGCTCTTTAACGCTTTATGCACCCATGGAATAAGTCAGCAAAATGTAAGGCTCACTTTGTTGATGAGACAAGAGGTTTAGTTCGATCCTTTGATGAACATCAAAAGAATCTCGCGGTCGCATAACGGTAACAACTAGCTGACTTTGAAGTCGGGTGTCACACTTTTAGAATTTTCAAAAGACAGTTATCAGCCTAGCGATTGTTTAGGTTTAATTAACCCATAGAGATCAATCAGCGGACCCTGTTTGTTCCGGTTCCGCATGCGCTTAAACCTAACAGGATAGTCATGACTGTCATGTGGTTTCAAACGGTCATGATGAGTTACTGACTCCTTCTTCCTGCCTTTGATCTTATACAGTACCGGAGATTTAACTTCAAAGACCTGGAATGGGCTCTTCCTTGGACGGTTGTTGTAATTTTGGATTTCGTCCAACCTTCGTGGCAGTTTCCAACTACATCCCCGATATTGTAACATCTCTTGCATAACTTTACATCATAGTCCCGTTTCTGCCGAAATTGTGCCCCCCCCCCCCCCCGGAGATGATATAGGGCAATATGAGCCGTCTGCACCTGCATCCGATCAATAGGTTGACTTGCCTCTCTTCCTAACATCATCAAATGAAGTAAATCCAGCTTGACGTTGTTGCGTAACCTGATGCCGGTCCCATTCCTGATGCTTCTTACCGTGACACCGGATCATTTGCAACAGCAACCGGTTGTAGCGTTCAACTTGGCCATTTGGAAAGGGCCTGTAGGTTGTTGTCCTGGTCCTGTCTTTGTCGGTGTGCAGCTCCAGGGGGCAACAAAACCGCAAAACACATTTATCCACCAGATGGGTTCAGCATTCTGATCTGGAATGGGATGATGACATTTTACCCATTTTGCGAACTGATCAACACTCACAAGTATGTATTTATTCCCAGCTTTCGTCACAGGTAATGGTCCAAGAACAATCATGTGAACGCGTTCCAACGGAACCCCAGCACGGTATTGCTCTAGTTCGGACTTGGCTTTCACATTCGCCTTCTTATTTCTATTGCAAACTTGACATGATGTAACATGCAACTTACAAGACTGGTTCATTCCGTACCAAATCACCCGCTTCTTCACCTTCCCCAGGGTTTTAGTCTGTCCTAGGTGACCAGATGATACATGATCATGACAGAGCCGATGTATAGCTGATTTCAAACTCCTCATAACCATAAAGAGGAGCGTGGATGATATTGGATCCTCCCACACACAGTACAAGATGTTATGCTGTACTTGCAATTGGCACTTACAAGACCACCAATGTCTTGTGTCAGGGCTTGTCATCTCTTCTGGAGATCTTGTTCATTTTTTGTTGCGGTTATTTTGGCGATACTGATATAAAGGCATATATTTACAGGTATTCTCGCTTCAAGGTGTACACATGTATATTCTATCATACATCCATTGAAAGCGAAAATGAAGACGCATGCTGTTTTTCATCGCTTAAATGTCTTAGACATCTCTTTTACCTGCTAAATGTTTTTGAAAAGAAAATGTATGAGTCAAAATGTCCAAGGATTAAATTTTCCTGCGGTCAGATTGACAAAATGACCAAAAGTTACTTTATATGGCTATTCCAATGTCACGTACACATCTTAACATATACATTTGTTAGTTTAAATTGTATTTTCAATACATAACCAGTAACGATTCGGAAACAAAAACTAAGTACTTATACAATATCCGTTTCGTGAAGTTAGATATACGATACTGACAGCAGATACAGTAATCAATTAATCATATTGAAAGGAAGCTCTAATGCATATTCATAAATTAATTCCGAAGAAGGGCAGAAATATTTAGGGTATATGTAGACAAATTACTAATCATCGAGGAATAGCAGTGATATGTAAAATCGCGGACATGAATATCATTCTATGATCATAAATATGCAACAGATATTGTTAAGCGTAATTTTTAGAAATGAAGATATGTCGTCATTAGTTTTTGAGATATCCTTATCATCGTATATATTTCCTACTATGTAAATAACCATTCGTCCCTACAATGTAGCAACTTCAATAGGGCGTTAATAACAATGTAAGTAATGTAAAGTCGACCGCCTCGGACAAATTAATCTTCATGATCACGTTATTGACAAAACGTTCGATGGTAATCTTTTCATCTTCCTGTCTATTTGACATATATTTAGGCTCACAGCACAAATCCCTTTCAAATACAGTGTTTCTCTGATGACAAATGTACCATGCACTTTATTAGGAATGAATGTTTTGCAATCCACACGTTTTCATGTAGCATCATTGGTAAAATCCAATCGGCGCTACCAAGTCGCTTACCAGAGTTTAACACACCATTAAGTCAGTGACTAATGAGACTTAAAAACGTTGCTCTGTCACCGCTAGAGCCCCGGATAAAAAGTTTTGTTTTGTTTTGTTTAATTTTGTTTAACGTCCTATTAACAGCTAAGGTCATTTAAGGACGTGTGTGTACGCAGGTGAGATGGTATGTTGGTGTGCTTGCCTCCTTGTGATAGCGCCGATCTGACGCCTACTTTATAGTGCCATCTCACTGAAATGCCATGCCGAAAGCACCAAGCACAGCTTCCCGCCCGGTCACATTATACCGACAACGGGTGAACCAGTTACTCTTAATGCTGAAAGTTAAGCAGGGAATAAAAACTACCATGTTTAAGGACTTTGGTATGTCCCGGCCTGGGGACAGAACCCATTGCCTTCCTTACCTGGGCGAATGCTCAACATTAAAACCAAAATTGAGTTGTTGCCAAGCAAGGCGCTAGGAAATAAAAGGTAGTTAGAAGAAGAAAGATGAAAATCCCAAATATTGCAATGGACGCAACAGATTTATTTTGGTCGCTCTTGCGTCCACAAATAGGGGACACAAAAACAAATCCCCAATTCTGCAGGGAGTTCCCGCATTAGTCACCTCCTACTATACATGCAATGGGTAACAGCAGGTGTATTCTTTTCCCGAACTTCGCGTCTATACACTGTAAACAATGTGTCAATGTTATGTTGGGTTTCATCCAAATTTACTTTGCGTCTAATTGGTGAGAAATTCTGGTTGCTGATAGTTTCAGATTTACGTACATTAAATTGAAAATCTCTTCAACAACAATCAAAGATCAGAACAGAAAATAGCTGACGGTTATTTCATTATAAACATTGACGTTATTCCTAATTGGATTTTTCTCTTTAACTCTTCAAGTCTTTCCTTGGTAATAAATCAAATCACTAAATTTAAATTGAAGGTAACCAAGTAGAATATAAATACTACTAACTTGATCGATTTTAATTACCGTATAATACTTCGGAAATATGAATAGGGTGCCTATTTGTACCATTCTGTCATTAGTACTACTGTCTGTTATAAAGTAGTGGCAGCCTCACTTATTATTCTTACCAGCTTGTATGTATGATTTAGTGCATAATCGATATGATATTAATGTTGAAGTTATTGCATTATATAAACCTATAAGTATATATGTTAAGGATAGATAGGGATATACCACACATGTGTTTATCTGACTTCCCAGACTGGACAAGTGCTTTGTTTGTATGGATATGTTTTACGAGATCTCTAGAGCAAGTGAAATATATCCATTCGCACAAAAAACGAGTGAAATTTGAGACGTCAGAAGAATGTATATGT